GCAGCAAAGGAAACCATAAAGAAGACCAAAAGACAACCCTCAGAATGGGAGAAAATATTTGCAAATGAAGCAACTGACAAAGGATTGATCTCCAAAATTTATAAGCAGCTCATGCAGCTTAATAACAAAAAAACAAACAACCCAATCCAAAAATGGGCAGAAGACCTAAATAGACATTTCTCCAAAGAAGATATACAGAGTGCCAACAAACACATGAGAGAATGCTCAACATCACTAATCATGAGAGAAATGCAAATCAAAACTACAATGAGATATCATCTCACACCAGTCAGAATGGCCATCATCAAAAAATCTAGAAACAATAAATGCTGGAGAGGGTGTGGAGAAAAGGGAACCCTCTTACACTGTTGGTGGGAATGTAAATTGATACAGCCACTGTGGAGAACAGTATGGAGGTTCCTTAAAAAGCTACAAATAGAACTACCATATGACCCAGCAATCCCACTACTGGGCATATACCCTGAGAAAACCATAATTCAAAAAGAGTCATGTACCAAAATGTTCATTGCAGCTCTATTTACAATAGCCCAGAGATGGAAACAACCTAAGTGTCCATCATCGGATGAATGGATAAAGAAGATGTGGCACATATATACAATGGAATATTACTCAGCCATAAAAAGAGACGAAATTGAGCTATTTGTAATGAGGTGGATAGACCTAGAGTCTGTCATACAGAGTGAAGTAAGTCAGAAAGAGAGAGACAAATACCGTATGCTAACACATATATATGGAATTTAAAAAAAAAAAAATGTCATGAAAAACCTAGGGGTGAAACAGGAATAAAGACACAGACTTACTAGAGAATGGACTTGAGGCTATGGGGAGGGGGAAGTGTAAACGGTGACAAAGCGATAAAGAGGCATGGACATATATACACTACCAAACGTAAGGTAGATAGCTAGTGGGAAGCAGCCGCATAGCACAGGGAGATCAGCTCGGTGCTTTGTGACCGCCTGGAGGGGTGGGATAGGGAGGGTGGGAGGGAGGGAGACGCAAGCGGGAAGAGATATGGGAACATATGTATATATATAACTGATTCATTTTGTTGTGAAGCTGAAACTAACATACCATTGTAAAGCAATTATACTCCAATAAAGATGTTAAAAAAAAAAAAAAAAAAGTCAAATCCTAATTGTTCTTTTTTGTGTGTGTGTTCTACTCAATATAACAGAATCCAAGTACAGAGCCGAAGAAACCTTGAAGTTCCTCAGCGTTTACTAGGATAAAGTCTGAGCTACAGAGTCCCTAAAGCAGGGGTGTATTTGTACAGTAAAAATGGGCCACACTTCAAAGTGATCACATGATTATTAAAAAATAAGCAAACAAATGGGCAAACAGAAGGAATGAAGCTCTATGGGAAATTTTAATTATGGCTTCAGACTGGCTAGAAAAGATTCAAGAAAACCTAAAACTACAATGCTATTAAATATTTCATAACTTTAAGATCAAATGGTTTCTGGGAGGAGGGAACAGGGAGTTATTATCTAATGGATACAGTTTCCATTTTGGAAGATGGAATGTGGTGATGACTGCACAATGTGAATGTACTTAATGCTCCTGAACTGTACACTTAAAAATGGTTAAAATGATAAGTTTTATGTTATGTATATTTTACCACAATTTTTTCAAAACAATCAAAGGGTTTCCACAGTTATGTAACAGACATGAATCACCTGGTCTATATATTGTGTATGTTTGAAATGCCAAGCTGAGGTCAGCATGCTTAAGAATGTTCAACAAGGTCTCAGGAGTCTCTTTGAGCCACTGCTTACGGGTATTATTTTCACTGTACTTTATTACAGAACCACCTAGTTGGGAAAAGATAAAAAATTAGTCCCAAATAAAAAAGATTCTCAGCATATGTCTTCAGATCATATTTCAAGCAGAGCTAATTATATCTAACTCTCTACCCAGATCGATTTCACTTGCCTGTATGAGCAGCGCTCTGATGTGTGATAACCAAATATCCTTCACAGAGTGACATTAAAAAGAAAAGAAAAAACTCTGGCTCATTAAACACCTATTAGACAACGTTCCATAATAAAATAATAGAATTCAATCTACTAACCTCTATCGTCCTCTGCCGTTAAACTGGAGGTGAGTAAGGATGCATTTTCCAAAGCTGTAAGAGCTGTACTGGATACATTTTTCTCCCACTGTCGCCTGAGAGGACCTGGTGAACTGGCTTTTAAAGTGTAAAGAAGAACTGCTGAGCTTATTCTTTTATTTATTCATCTATATGCACACAAGTATCTCTCTAAAAGAAAAGTATTTCCTTTCTCTCTCAAACTCAGATCTAACAACACTCTTTCAAGTCTAAGTAGTAAAGGGAATGAAAAAGAAATCCAGATGAAAAGGTAAAGCTAATCATTAAAGTGAATTTTAAAAAATGCTATGTATAGGGGCTTCCCTGGTGGCTCCATGGTTAGGAATCTGCCTGCCAGTGCAGGGGACACGGGTTCGAGCCCTGGTCCAGGAAGATCCAACATGCCATGGAGCGGCTAGGCCCGTGAGCCACAGCTACTGAGCCTGCGCTCTAGGGCACACGAGCCACAACTACTGAGCCCGCGTGCCTAGAGCCCGTGCTCTGCAACAGGAGAGGCCACAACAATGAGAAGCCCGCGCACCACAATGAAGAGGGGCCCCCGCTCGCCGCAACTAGAGGAAGCCCGCGTGCAGCAACCAAGACCCAACGCAGCCAAAAATAAATAAATAAATTTATTTTTTTAAAAAATGCTATGTATATACTCACACATTACACAATGTACAAGAATTAAAGGCCCAAGAGGACTTAGGTAGACACTGTGTGCCAGGTTTTTTATGTTGGAGAGCACAACAAATACTATTTTTTCTGAAGCCTCTTATTAATAAACATGATTTTCTCTTTTTTTATAGGTAAATAAATTATTCCTGTAACACTACTGGATAAGCAAACACAAATCTGCCTATCTACTTGCTTATGAAGCCTACGACCTAGTAAGGTGGAAACTGGTATTCCCTGTATATTCCCCAGTTCTCCACTTATACAATGATTAGAATTTGAATAACTTACCTATCTCTTCTCTGTTTACTCTCCTCAGTGCACTTTCAACCGAATTTTTATTAATGCTTTCTAAGTCAGTGTGGCTACACTTTCCACCTGGTTCTTCCCTTTGCTTTAAAAGAAATTAAAAATAAAGATTAAGTAATGCTTGAATTGCTGCAAAAAAAGGTAAACAAGTAGGCAAAGACAGCTATTTTAACTTTAAATACAGATGGATTAAACATCAATAACCACAGAACCCCATCCATGTAAATTAAGTCATATAATCATATATATGTGTATGTTAAAAACCATATATATGAACAGACATATGTATAAATATAGGTCTATTAATAGTCATATACATTAATAGCCATTAATATCAGTCACTGCAAATGTGAAAAGGATATATAAAAATGACAGAGATATTTGAGAGGTCATTATAGAGGAAATGAGCAATGAAAAATTTCTGGGCTTTTCATGCTGGAAATATCAAAATGAAATATTTTATAAAGTTACCATACAGACGGTCCTCGAATTACGATGGTTCGACTTATGATTTTTCGACTTAATGATGGTGTGAAAGTGATACACATTCAGCAGAAACTGTATTTCAAATTTTGAATGTTGCTCTTTTTCCCAGGCTAGTGATATGCCGTATGATACCCTCTCGTGATGCTATGTAGTGGCAGAGAGCCAAAGCTCCCACTTAGCCACGTGATCACAAAAGTAAACAGCCGATACACTTACAACTATTCTGTACGCAGGCAACCACTGATTTTCACTTTGAATTCAGTATTGAATACATTATATGAGATATTCAACACTTTATTATAAAATAAGCTCTGTGTTAGATGATTTTGCCCAACTGGAGGCTAATGGAAATGTTCTGAGCACATGTAAGGTGGTCTGGGCTAAGCTAGGATGTTTGGTAGGTTAGGTGCATTAAATGCATTTTCAACTGGGGGGATGGGATTTCTATGTCTTGACTGTGGTGCTGGATATATGACTGTACAAAATTACCAAAATTCATCAAACTGCATGCTAAAAATGAGTAAATCTTACTACATATAAATTAGGCCTCAATAAAGCTGGAAATAAACAGATATTACTAACAGATATTACTATGCAAAGAAAAAAGTACAGGGGCAGAATATATTCCATTTGTAGTAACATAATGGGGAATGGTGTTATTTATTTACAACCTAAGGTTCATTCAAAAAATTTACAAGTTTAATTACTAGTACATTCCATAAACAGAATCATTTGTTGTTACTACATCTTTTCCTTTGAGAGTTAAAAGGTTGATTAAAATGATGAAGAAAGAAAAAAATTATCAATAGGACATCCGTTACTGGGTTGGGCGTGGCAAAACTGGGAAGTGGATTTGCTGTTACTATTTATGACTTAACTGTCGCTATCATGTAAAAGGGCACAGCTGCCTGGAGCCAAATGAGACAAACAGGACCTTGAATTCCAGGCTGAAAAATGTCCACTCAATTCGTGGGCTTAATGGGGAGGCACTAAAAGTTTTTGAACAGAAAAATGTCAAGATCAAAATAGTGATCTACATATTATTTAGCCATAAAAAGGAAGGAAATTCTGATACAGGCTATACCATGGATGAACCTTGAAAATATTAAGCTAAGCAGAAGAAGCCAGACACAAAGGGACAAATATTGTGTGATTCCACTTACTTGAAATACCTAGACTAGGCAAATTCATAGAGACAGAAAGCAGAATAGAGGTTACCAGGGGCTGAGGTGGAAGGGAGGGTGGGGAGGAATGGGTAGTTATTGTTTAAGGGTTTCTGTTTGGGGTGATGAAAAATTACATTGTGAATGTAATTAATGCCATTAAATTCTTACAATTCAGCTTAAAAATTGCTGAAGTGATAAATTGTATGTTATATATATATATAGTACCACCCACACAAGTCCAACCAAGAGCCAGGCTAAAACAAGACTTTCATGCCTATAAGCAGGGCTAAGTTCGCTCACATCTTGTCATCCATAATTAGAAATGAAAAAACAAATAAATGTGTAAGGCCAACTGGCCCGAGGCAGGGGAACACAATCAGATTCACAGGTTGCATCAGACCCAAATTCTCCGGACCACCCAGTTCCAGGAACTGACCTGGGGACTTTGAACCCAGCCCAGCCTTCCCGCCTTTCGAGGGGCGGGACTAACGGTCCCCCAGGATACCCGAAAAGACCACCAAATAAGGAATACCCTGCGCCCTCCCAGATTCACCACACCCCTTTCCCTTCTTCCCCTATAAAATCTTGCCCAACCCTCGCCCAGGTGCGACTTCTCTGGCCCCCTTTCTCTCAGACCAGTGAACCTCGCCCTGGAGCGCTCCCTAATAAAGCTCACTTGAAGCTTTCCTCTGTTTCGCGGTACCATTTGTTAAGATCCGACCTTACAAAATGCTGATCTAAAGTGGCTCGGCTGGCAGTACAAAGAACAGCCGCCAGTTACTTCACAGGCCCAAAGATGAAAAACTCCTGAACCCAGGGACCAGGGCAACAGTCTTCCAAATATCTCCCAGCACCTAAAGATGCCAGGTACCCGGTAGACAATTTTAGACATTTAACTTTAAAGCACTTACCACTGTGCGTGCTTCATTTTCCAAAGCTATCCTGATTCTGCTGGGGTCTGCTCAAAGAGAAAAGAGAAGGTAGAGAGAAAACACATAAAGGCTTCTAATATGATTTGCACAAAGCTTGAGTGACAAAGACAAATGAAGTTTTTAAAGTCAAAGAACCAAAGCACTAGCTCACACAGTGATATCAAGCTTTGATTGCCTAATAATACACCTCAGCTGTTAAAGAAATTATTTCTGCTGTTTTATTCTAATGTTAACATCTGCAAGTTAAGACACCTCTATTCACTTATGCCAACCCATTTAGGCACCAGGAGGTAAGCCGCTCTGTATACTCGGAAGGTCATTATCACCTTTAACATAAGCTTGCTACCCAGTCTGCTTTTCCTGACAGCTATTACAGTAGGTGGAATAGGTATCCCTCTCAAGAAATCAGCTACTTATTCCCTGATGAGGGCCCAGCAGCAGTCATGGAGGCAGGATGGCTCCTGCCTGATTTTCCGCTGCCAGAGCCTGGGGTCCGTGTTCCTCATTCATTCAGCATTTTAAACAATTGCTACTGAGCATCTATGATGACGGCACTGAGGATACAACAGTGAGCAAATGAGACACGGTCCCTGCCCTCACACAGCTTTCATTGTTCTGGTCTCACTGGCTACAGACTAGATGGAGCTACCACCAGATACGTGCTCCCCATCTGGTGGCTCCTCCGCACTGGCTTACTCCTCTTTTTTTTAGAAATTGTAAAACTACACTTTCCTATCTTGAAACTACACTGTCTTGAAACTGTTCTTAGACTGCTTTTGTTGTTGCTGCTCAGCATTTTAAAACGAAATTTCCCACTACCCTGGGATGTGAACAGAAGCTACGAAACAGTACATAAAATAAAATCAACACTAAAACTGCTGAAGCAAAGGTAACTGACTACCTCTTAAGTAACGGAAAAAAATGCTGAATTGTAAGACTGAAGGGTTTATACCACTAAAAGGGTTTACATTCTTACAAAAGTAACATTTAAAATTTAACTTCAAGAAAACAGTATAGTTTAGAAATGTTTCTTTCGAAACTAACATGACATTGTAAATCAACTATACTTCAATAAAAAAGAAATTTAAAAAAATAGAAATGTTTCTTTTGTAGTATATAACACTAAGATAACAGGCACTAAATAACGGAGGTTTTACAACATCTCCCTACAGTGGATGACCTACACGTCTTAATTCTCTCTTATCCTGGTCATTGTTGGATTTCTTCAGATGAAAGATGTGTCACTGATGACAAATGAAAAGCAACAAAAAGAGCTTTGAAAAAATTGAGATGACAACTTCCAAAGAGACAATAAATTCCATTTGAAATCTGCTCAGGATTGACTACAGATGTATGCAAATTGTGTGCACCTCTTATGTGGGCAGTTCCAACTTTTAAAAAGACTCCATTTAAAAAATTTTGTTTATAAGATGGTCCTTAGGGATACAACTTCCTATATTATATTTTCATGGTTAGATCCCTAGGTAAGACCACAGAATCCTTCTACCTGATCCATAACAAACTAGAGTAAATATGGTTCTAAAAATGAAACAGAGAACAATCTTTACATCTCTAAAATCTCCAAACTATGTTCTTTTTGATCCCTGGAAAACTAAATGTATAAGATTCGGTATAGAATTATGCCTGAAGGAATAAGAAGCAAATTTTGATTTGAGGAGTATCTGGAAATCATCTCTAATAACTTGAAAATTGTATTTTTCCTTTTTGTTATACTGTATTTTAAAAGAACACAAAAAATAAGCTTTTCAAAATTCTTACCCTTTTTTCTTGGTGTACTAGGCATAGATTTTTTGGTTTCTTCTAATACCTGTTCACCATATTCTGTGATGATCTGAAAGTTTAAAGCAGAGAATTTAAAGATGTGAAAGATGCTTTTCTTTAGATACTGCCATAACATCATTTAATTATCAAGGTTCTTCCCCACAGCAATAAAGTTGAAAAGTAGAAATGCCATTTAAAAGATCCATGTAGGGATTTCCCTGGTGGTCCAGTGGTTAAGACTCCATGCTTCCACTGCAGGGGGCAAGGGTTCGATCCCTGGTCAGGGAACTAAGATCCCACATGCCGCAAGGCACAGCCAGAAAAATAAATAAATAATAAATAATAAAGAAAGAAAGAAATAAAAGATCCACGTAATTTAAACAAACAGACATTTATATACGTCCAAAAAGATCTGGAAGGATAATGCAAACAATATCCATGATTATATTTGGGGAATAGCATCGTGGAAAGAAGAGGAGGGAAAGGACGTTTCAACTTTTTACTTTTTTTTATATACGTCTGCATTATTTGAATTTTTACAGGCATGTATAACATGTAATTGTGTTTAGAAGATAACAAACACTGGGAAAACTATTCACAGTCAATCTCACATGTACCATACCTCTGGGGGTAAGCACTTCTGGATGAGCCGAGCTAAAGAGCCTCTGGAGAGAAGAGTTGTAGCTGAAGGGCGATATGAGGGATTCTTTTTAAACATCTGCTTGATCAGATGCTGAAGCTCATAGGAATAATGGGATGGCAGTGGGCTCATGGACCCCTGACAAATTTTGAGGATAAGACTTTTCCAACTATTTGCCTGAAACTGAAAAGCAAAACCGAACTGTAAAAGCAGATACAAGGAAAGAGAACAGAAGTAAGTAAATACCAGCTGAACTGAATTTATATGAATTATTTTAATTTTAGAAATTCTTCTCCCTAGAGGTGTTTTTAAGGCGCTGTTCTCTAATCTTTTGTTTTACTAATCACACTTTTTTCTTTGTATTTCAAAAAAATTATTTTATTGAAGTACAGTTGATTTACACTGTGTTAATTTCTGCTGTATAGCAAAATGATTCAGTTATACATCTATATACATTCTTTTTCATATTCTTTTCCATTATGGTTTAATCACAGGAATTGAATATAGTTCCCTGTGCTATACAGTAGGACCTTGTTGTTTATCCAAACAGTTTGCATCTGCTAGTCCCAAACTCCCACCCCACCTCCCACCCGGTACTATTCTAAAAATCTTATGATTGTTCAGGAGAAAGGTAAACATAAATAGTAAAAGATGTTCCCATCTGGAGGAAGTCTTACCATCAGTGCCTGTTTTGGGTACTTTATTACTCAAATCAACGTTTTCACAGATACACATTTTTAATATATTTTAAAAATCAAAGTAATACATACATATGGCTTTTTAAAAAGTCAGATGATATTAAGGCTTATAATAAGTGTAATGTTTCTTTGCTTCTCTCCTCCTCAAAAATCCCCAGGCCTGGGCTTCCCTGGTGGCGCAGTGGTTGAGAGTCTGCCTGCCAATGCAGGGGACACGGGTTCGAGCCCTGGTCTGGGAAGATCCCACATGCCGCGGAGCAACTAGGCCCGTGAGCCATGGCCGCTCAGCCTGCGCGTCTGGAGTTTGTGCTCCACAACAAGAGAGGCCGCGACAGTGAGAGGCCCGTGCACCGCGATGAAGAGTGGCCCCCGCTCATCGCAACTAGAGAAAGCCCACGCACAGAAACGAAGACCCAACACAGCCAAAAATAAATAAAATTTAAAAAATAAAAAAAAATTTAAAAATCCCCAGGCCTGCTCCCTGACAAAATGCACTTTAGACTTTTCCTATTTTAAACTCCTGCTGCAAAATCCTTTTTACCTTCCATGTCATCAAAGTAGTTATCACCGTTTGACAAGTAATAGAGTGGGATATAAAATGTCATACCAGAATAACATTTAAAGTTTTCATTGTATAATAAACATACTGCGGGGGCTTCCCTGGTGGCACAGTGGTTAAGAATCCACCTGCCAATGCAGGGGACACGGGTTCGAGCCCTGGTCCTGGAAGATCCCACATGCCGCGGAGCAACTAGGCCGGTGCGCCACAACTACTGAGCCTGTGCTCTAGAGCCCACAAGCCACAACTACGGAAGCCTGCGTGCCTACAGCCCGTGCTCTGCAACGGGAGAAGCCACCGCAATGAGAAGCCCACGCACCGCAATGAAGAGTAGCCTCTGCTCGCCACAACTAGAGAAAGCCCACGCGCAGCAATGAGGACCCAATGCAGCCATAAATAAATAAATTTATAAAAAATAAACACACTGCACTTAATTAACATTAGGTGCCAGCCTCAGTAATACTTAATATAAGAACATGATGGCATTCTGCCTTGGAGGTACATTACCCTATTAATACATATAAGTGAAGATATGAAAAAGGAAAAGTCAACATGTAATAAAGGAAAAAAACATATAACAAAGGAAAAATTCAGGTAATGAAAAATAAGACTGAATCTGCTTTGCTACAGGCTTTTTTTTTACTTATACCAGATGTAGTTTATTGATATAATCAATAGGATTATGAAACTTCCCCTATAACAACCAGAATTTAAATTTACATTAAGAGGTTTGATAATCAAACAACAGTGAAGCTATGTTAATATACTGTCACGGAAAAATTATCCATGACATTTGTTAAAAATGATAAGGCAGATTTTATTCAGGACCATTGTAACAGATATAGGCTCCAGTGCGATAGAATTTTGCAGAGGGTTAGAGAGATTGGGCTTAAAGGCAAACACAGCATGGGCAAGTGGGAATTTATATCTAATGAACAGGGTAGATATCACCGGATGGAAAATTACTAACAGGAAACATCCAGGCAAAAGGGGGACTCTGGCAGAAACTAACACACCATTGCAAAGCAACTACACTCCAACAAAGATGTAAAAAAAAAAAAAAAAGAATAGCACTCCACACACACACACACACAAAAAGGGGGGGACTCTGGCTAAACCAATCTAACAGGATTCTTGCTGAAGGCAGACCAGAGGGGTCAGACGTCAGCTGGGGAATTGTGGAGGATGAGGAACCTGATCAGATATCAAGGGCAATCGGACATTGAGGGTGGAGGGTTCTTGCTCAACTTACCAGGGTTCTTGATAAAATTGGACTTTGCAAGGGAATGCACACATGGGTCTAGGAGAAGATTCAGAAGCCAGATGAAAATTTGGCTAAGCAAAGAATTCTTTTCAACTTGAGCCATTTTTAAAACAATTACTCATTTACTATTAATTACCGTTTGCTAAAAACAACACAAACCGAAGATCATGTATGTACACTTGAAAATATGAAGCTAAAGGGGTGATGCAAGCTAATGTGGTGGACAACAGACCTAAATTTTTATCCATATGTCTGAACTGAAAATGTTGTTTATTTGATACTCCCTTAAAACAACTTGCAATATTATTTTTTTGAAAAAGTTAAAAGGTTGCTTTGATTATAAACACACAAATATACACAGTTCTAGAGAAGCAGACTATAGTTAAAATTTACACTGAAGTGAGACATGTTTGCCATATATCTACCAGATGTCTGAATTGGGGCACACTTCTTGACTTCTCAAAGTGTCTCCATCTGCAATTAGGGGTAATAATCTCATTCCCAAATGCCTCAGGCTTTCTAACCATTACATTAAATTTCAGCGTTTCCTAAAGGTTTGAGAACTACTTTTGCCTTTTTATTATTATTATTATTTTTTGCAGTACGCGGGCCTCTCACTGTTGTGGCCTCTCCCCTTGCGGAGCACAGGCTCTGGACGCGCAGGCTAAGCGGCCATGGCTCACGGGCCCAGCCACTCTGCGGCATGTGGGATCTTCCCAGACCGGGGAACCAACCCGCGTCCCCTGCATCGGCAGGTGGACTCTCAACCACTGCACCACCAGGGAAGCCCTACTTTTACCTTTTTAAAGCAGACAACAGAGCAGACAGTGCCAAATATAAATATTCAGGGCACTGTACTCCTTACTACTTATTCTTGCTAGAAAAAATAAGAACATGTATATGAATGTTTATGAAAAGGACAAAATTAGGGAAATAAAGAATATAATCCTAATTAAGATACTGAAATTTAAAAAATAATTTTATTTGTACACAACAGTGGTTCTCCACTTGGGCTACACATTACAATCACCTATTTTAAAACCACTAACGTCCCAGGAACTAACACAGTGTTGTAGTCAATTATACTTCAAAAACAAACAAACTCATAGAAAAAGAGATCAGATTTGTAGTTACCAGAGGCCGGGGGTGGGGGAAAGAGGAATTGGATGAAGGTGGTCAAAAGGTACAAACTTCCAGCTGTAAGATAAATAAATGCTAGGGATGTAACGTACAACACAGTGAACATGATGAACACTGCTGTAGGTTCCATGTGAAAGCTGTTAGGAGAGTACACCCTAAGAGTTCTCATCACAAAGAAAAAGTATTTTTTCTTTTTCTTTTGTTTTGTATCCATATGAGATGATGGCTGCTCACTAAACTTATTATGATAATCATTTCATGGCGCACCTAAGTCAAATCACCACACTGTACACCTTCAATGCATACACTGCTATATGCCAATTATATCTCCGTAAAACTGGAAAGAAAAAAAATTTTTTTTAATGCCCCCAAATGAATACAAATTCAATGTAAAAGCAAAAACAAAATACACTAATGTCTAGGATACCCGAGATTTTAATTCAATTAGTCTGGCCTGGGCCTAGGCATCAGCATTTTTTTCAAGTTTCTCACATTGTTCTAATTATGCAGCTGGTATTATAAGCCACTTATATACAAGGAAGCTGACCTCTCAGTAACAGTGCACACCTTGTGGAGAAAAGGGAACCCTCTTGCACTGTTGGTGGGAATGTAAATTGATACAGCCACTATGGAGAACAGTATGGAGGTTCCTTAAAAAACTACAAATAGAACTACCATACGACCCAGCAATCCCACTACTGGGCATATACCCTGAGAAAACCGTAATTCAAAAAGAGTCATGTACCACAATGTTCACTGCAGCTCTATTTACAATAGCCAGGACATGGAAGCAACCTAAGTGTCCATCAACAGATGAATGGATAAAGAAGATGTGGCACATATATACAATGGAATATTACTCAGCCATAAAAAGAAACGAAATTGAGTTATTTGTAGTGAGGTGGATGGACTTAGAGTCTGTCATACAGAGTGAAGTAAGTCAGAAAGAGAAAAACAAATACCATATGCTAACACATATATATGGAATCTTAAAAAAAAAATGGTCATGAAGAACCTAGGGGCAAGACAGGAATAAAGACACAGACCTACTAGAGAATGGACTTGAGGACACGGGGAGGGGGAAGGGTAAGCTGGGATGAAGTGAGAGAGTGGCATGGACATATATACACTACCAAACGTAAAATAGATAGCTAGTGGGAAGCAGCCGCATAGCACAGGGAGATCAGCTCGGTGCTTCGTGACCACCCAGAGGGGTGGGATAGGGAGAGTGGGAGGGAGGGAGACACAAGAGGAAAGAGATATGGGGACATAGGTATATGTATAACTGACTCACTTTGTTATAAAGCAGAAACTAACACACCATTGTAAAGCAATTATACTCCAATAAAGATGTTTAAAAAACAAAAGTGCAAACCTTCCATTTGAGTTACTTTCATCTAGTGGTGAAGAAGGAAAGAAGGACGTTCTTAATTACTCACTCTCATGAGCTCTACATGTTCTCAAGCACCTCTGTGAAAATGCTTGCTAGAGCCAAGTTCAAATCTCTGCCCAAAGAACAGAATTTATTTCTATGCAAAGCTAACACTTAATAGGGATCAGCACTAATTATTAATTCTGTGCAATAAACAACTGCAAACAAGCAGGGCAAGTGAGTTAACTTCTTTTTATGTTAAATTATTTTTAAAATATCTTTAAAAAATATATAATATAGAGCAAAGTCTATTTTCTCATGATATTTCAGTTAGAGAAGAAACTGGAAGAAGTGAAATCTAACTGATAACAAGGAAAGTACAAACATGGTGCAGCCACTCTGGAAAACAGTTGGGCAGTTCTGCAAAAAGCCAAACATGCAGTTACCATGTGACCCAGCGATTCCATTCCTCTGTGTATACCCCAAAAATTGAAAACAGGGATTCTAATAGATACTTGTACACCCATGTTCACAGCAGCATTATTCACAATAACCAAAAGGTGGAAACAACCCAAATGTCCAGCAACAGATGAATGGATAAACAAAATGTGGTATAAACATAGAATGGAATATTATTAAGTCATAAAAAAGGAATGAAATTCAGACATATGCTACAACATGGATGAACGTTGAAAACATTATGCTATGTGAAATAAGCCAGACACAAAAGGAAAAATATGGTATAATTTTACTTATACAAAATAACTAGAATATGCAAATTCACAAAGATAGAAAGGGAGGGAGGGAGGGAAGCAGGGAGGGAGGGAAGGAAGGAGGGAGGCAAGCTAAATATAGTACTATAAATACTAAATCATGGAAATTTCCTATTAGTATATACTACAAAAGTAGCTCAAAGCAAAGATGACAGCAACTGGAAACATGAAAATCTTATAATGAACTCATACTAAGGAAGCAAACCACCAACTGAAATCTGGCAATTACTCAGGACTTAGCCCGATACCACCAGAGGCTGCCTTTCCCATTTTGCACGCCATACTTACTGGATGCTTAAGGGTACAGAGTTCATAGAGAATGCATCCCAAGGACCAGATGTCACTGGAAGCATAAAGAAGCAATGTAACGATGAGTGGGTTATGAGTTGTCATATGAAAATATGTATATGTTGTAATACAAAAGATAAAAAATTACTCTACCTTTAATAAGAACAGACATTGCAGGTACTTCTTAGCTACTGAAATAAAATATACAGCAATTTTGGTCTAACACTTAGATACTTACTAACAGTAATGTTCACAATAAAACTGACTGCTCCCCAGCCCCTGCCCCTCCAAACCTGGGTTGTTCGGGTATCAGTTCAGTAGTATCAATACTTGGTGCAAGAGGAATATCCATGGACTCAGATTACCAGAGTTGGCAGAAGGGCTTTAGAAGTCATGCAGTGCAGCTTCCACCTAGACTGCCTGTACCACACCTGGCCGTTGGTCACACATCCTGATGGACAGCTCTCTGTGCCCCCAGTGGCTGGCTCTAAGGGACAGCCTTCTTATTCTTCCACAAAAGAGCTCTTCAAAGCTCAGCAAAGGGTTCTATAGTTTGCCCTATACGCCCACCCTTCTTCAAACTAAGCACCTCCACTTTCCTCCAGAGTTCTCACCACCTAGTTGTCATCCCCCGGACTTTTTCTAGATATTCTTTTCATTTTAACTAAGGTTTTTTTTTTTATCAACTATTTCCCCCAACTTTTAAATTTCTAAAGTTTGAAACCTACAGGAAAGTTGTAAATGCCCACACGGTCCTTCCTAGGTTCCTCAGCCATTAGCATTTGCCACGTTTGCCTGCTTTTCCTCTCTTGCTTCTAGATCTGAACCTCTTGAAAGAAAGGCTGCAGACATCAAACACTTCACCCCTAAACACATCAACATGTATCTCCTATGAGCAAGGACACTCTCCCTCATGAACACAACACCATTATCACATCCAGGAAATTTAACCTTAATTCAGTACTATTATCTAATATTTTGTCCAAACTCAGATTTCCCCAGTTGTCCCAGGAAGTCCCTTCATAGCTGTTTTGTCTCCAATTCAGTCAGTTTTACTCTTAAAGGAGTCTATTTATTATGGATTATCATATCCTTTTCAGAAAACAACTTGGCAGATGGTAACAAGAACCTGTGGGTGTTTCTCTTTCTAGGAATTCATGCCAAGAATGTGATAGACAACAATGACATATTTATGCACAAAAGGCATATTAATCACAGCACTGTTTAGGATACTGAAAATTGGAAATATATCATAAGGCCAATAACAGAGGAATGTGAAATAAATTTTGGAAGACCCATGTATTAAAATATTATGCAACCATTAACAATAATTATGCAGAGTTTTAATATGGGATAAAGTGAATATGATATAAAGTGAAAAAAGCAGGATACTAAATTGTATATAGAGTATATAAACAAAGTTTAGGGGAAAAAGAGAATGGATGGGGGAAAAAACCCAAAATGTTATCAGTAGTTGTGTAAAAGTGGGTGATCACCATTTCCTTTCTTGTATATCTCTACATTTCCAATCCTTCCCCTGCCCACCCACTCCATCAATGGGCACATATTACTTATATTCAGAAAAAAATTATGCTTTAAATCATAAGGACTTCATACTATATTCTGATAATCAATGAACCTATCAGTCAAGTGCTTATTATCTAGTCCTGTAAATGTCAACTCAATGACATAATCCAGTGGCTCCCAAATTTTGCCGCACATGGGACTCACTTAGTGATCCTGGAAAATTACTGATGCCTGCTGCCCACCCCCAGACATTTGGATTTAACCGATATGGCTACAACCTGCGCTTTGGGATTTTAAAAGTCGGGAGCAGCAAAGTTTGAGAAGCAGTAATATAATGCATACTGTTCCCAGAAATGACTAACCTTTCTTTCAGCATTTACATGTAGCTCCTCTCAGCTCTGATTAAAACAGTGGGAAAATTATGACTTTCATCTAGAGGCCTAGGAATTTAAATTCTACACTGCTTTCACATATACATTTTTAAAAACCAAACTTCACCTGTAGGCTACAATGCCTGTACCAAACTGTCAGCCCTGTACCAACTACATATATCACTTACCTTTTATTGTTATAAGGCATGTTCTCCCAAATTTCCGGGGGCACATAATAAGGTGTTCCCACATACGTACAAGCAAATGCCATGGGACTAAAACCAGAAAGAGGCACAGAACGATTACAGAGCATTTCTCAATGATGATGCTTCGACTACTGTCACTACTACAGAAGAGACATACATACCTGGAGAGAAGACGGGCAGATCCAAAATCACCCAATTTTACTTTTCCCTTTTGGGTGAGGAAGATATTCTGCATTGAAAAAGAAGAGCTCAGATTACATCTACCCTCATTCAAATATAAGGCAGAGATATATGTGGAACCTAGAAAAATGGTACAGATGAACCGGTTTGCAGGGCAGAAATAGAGACACAGATGTAGAGAACAAACGTATGGACACCAAGAGGGGAAAGTGGCGGGGTGGGGGTGGGATGAATTGGGAGATTGGGATTAACATGTGTACACTGATATGTATAAAACAGATAACAAATAAGAACCTGCTGTATAAAAAATAAATAAATAAACAAACAAACAAATATAAGGCAGAGAGCGCCGGCAGAAGCTGTCTTTCAAAGGCTGCTGATGATGGAGATCAAGGGTAGAAATGCTGACAGCCGAGTCCTCGAATGGAACATAAAAAGACAAGATACCCTCTGGACAGCTGCACTTCCCTGCTTGGGAATTCAGGATGACTGATTAGAAATCTAACAGGCAAGCTTCAGATTGTATCGGCAGACCCTGCTCAACTGACCGGAGAACCTGTGTCCCGGTAACTCCAGGTGGCAGGCCCTGGTCTCAACCGTTTTCCATCTGAGAACATGTGGTCTTAGGAAACAGTCACTAAGAGAGCTGGAACATATTACCATACACTACTAAAGAGATTTACTGACCTGTTCTCAAGTAGTACCTTATTTGGCTAGCATAAATATCAATATTACATTGAGAAATATTTCTAAACTAGATAAAAATGCCCCAGAAGGAAAGAGAATAACACAGAAAAAACATGGAACGAAATAGTTTTCGATTTTTTTTTTTAGGACCAAAATGTTTCCACTTACCTTGGACTTGATATCTCTGTGTAACACACGTTTCTTGTGAATGTGATTTACTCCAAGGCACATTTGTGTAAACCAATTAAGTATCTGTAAGGAAAAAAGCATGCAAATCTGCAAGAATGCAATAACGGGTTCATGGCAACCCCAAATCCCAAAGAATCATCTTCAGGCCCTGGCTGACCTGAGTTTTATATAATATAAGCACAGAACTCCTGAAAATTACATAGTTCAACTAAGATTCAGTGTTGCCTGGAGAAATTCAGAAAAGCTGTGAATCAATCCCATATGTGTCATCGTCTTATGTATGATCTAAATAGCAATTTATTTATGTACTTTTTTGGCCATGCCACGTGGCTTGTGGGATCTTAGTTCCCCCAGGGATTGAATCCGGGCCCTTGGCAGTGAAAGCGCGGAGTCCGAACCACTAGACTGCCAGGGAATTCCCAACGATTTATTTTAATAAAAATCCCACTATGGTTTTCTTGTATTTAACCAAATAAAAATATTTTTTAAATATACAATAAAAGTAGTTTGCCATTTAGAAATGAATATGCTATAACTTTTTATAGTGTAATCATTACATCAGATTTTCATTCACTTTTTCAGAATATTCATATGTTAACATTAAAAGATTTCATTATATTACCAACAATCCTTTGAAGCCAGGCTGACATGCTACAATGGAACCCATATTCTTAACAATACAACTTCTAGATGAAAAATATTTATACTAATATACTCTCAAAACATGTTATATACCATGTATCAAACTAAGCCCCAGTAAAGCTGTTTATTGAAGTATTTTCCTTAGTCAACTCATTCCGATAATATTTAATACACAACTTTCCATTAAAAAGGCAGTAAGTATTTTAAGAGACTATGCTAAACTGTAGAAGGAAAAAGACTAAGAATAGGTGCTCCTGAAAACCAGAAATGCAGGCTTCATTCTTCAGATGATCTAGAAATACAAAAGAAATCCATCTGCCTTCTAAAATTTCAATACAAAAAATAAAAATTTTAAATGTCTAAAAAAAAAAAAAAAAAAAAAAATTTTAAATGTCTAGTAGAAAGTATGATAAATAATACAATTTTGAAATTCTTCTAAACATGGAAGTGTTATTCCTTGATATTTTATAAACTTATATCTATTTTACTCCCTAAAAACATCTCAGGCAGCCACATCTCACTAAGCAGCATCATGGATACAGAAATGAGTCATTTCTAACTAGTGTGTCAGGTAATCACAGACAGCAATGCTTCTATTTTAACACATACAAATTTTATGAGAAAAGTTGCTTCCAAACCTTGAGGGAAACTTATGTAAGTCGGTCTCTTACCATATCTTCAGGAAACAACTTCCCTTTCTGATGTTTAATCTTCTGCATCAGGTCCCCTCCATCACAATACTCCATCACAATATACAGATGTCCTTCAGCTAAAACAAATGTAAGACTCTTTAAGAAAGGCCCAGGGACTTCCCTGGTGGTCCAGTGGTTAAGAATCCTCCTTCCAATGCAGGGGACAGGGGTTTGATCCCTGGTCAGGGAACTAAGATCCCACATGCCGCAGGGCAACTAAGCCTGCGTGCCACAACTAGAGAGAAGCCCACACACCGCGAGGAAGAGCCCACGTGCCGTAATGAAAGATCCTGGATGGCTTAACAAAGATCCCGACAGCCACAACTAAGACCCGACACAGCCAAATAAATTTAAAAAAACAAAAACAAAGCCTCAGTGGCCATGAATCAAATTCAGAAATGCATGTATTGGGGGAAATTCATATTTACCTTCAAATGATTCCTTAAAGGCAACAATATTGGGGTGTTTCATTTTGGCTAACAGAACAGCCTCCTTCCTAGAATTCTGTGTGTCAGAGAAAACCTAGAAGGAAGTTTAAATAAGCGTAAATGTAATACTTCATAATAAAACTGATAGTAAAATGATATTATAGTAGTTTGTAAGGTATTTCAATGCTAGACACAATTTCATAGCACTGTACTCTGACCAATTGAGTTTATCAAACTCCACGAGAAAACATGTGCAGATTTCTCAACTATGGCTATATGCATGCTTAAGCTGACCTCTTATATCTTTACAAGTATAGAATGTAAACTACTCTTATCATCAGCCTAAGTATAACCTGACTTGGAGAGCCAGTATGCCATCAACAATAGTAGCTCCTTAAAGAAAAACTAGGGCTTTCATGTTTTTACTGTCTGCATCACTTTATCAGCCCACTGGTTCAGATGAAAAATATATATACTCGTGTATTACAGCAGCATGGATGGGCAAAGACCATATGCAAAATAAGTTTCCAAAACTGTTTATCCCCTAACTTACTCTATGAGGATAAAATCCTGAATGACTTATAATTAAGAAACTGCAACTGATTATGTACTAGCCCAAGGGGGCTCAGACCAGCAGCATCACCACCGGCTGGGAACTTTCGTTAAAAATGCAAATTCACAGGCTCACCAGGAACTACACAACCAGAAACTCAGGGGTTAAGGCTCAGCAATCTGGTTTAACAAGCTCTCCAGGTGATTCTGATGCCCACTAAACGAGGTCAAGATTGCAGTGGGAAAAAAAATACTCTGAGAATTTTATTAAAATGTATTTTTTTTTTAGTTGATCAAAACATTATTAGGCAGCCTCCATGGTATGGCTTCTTTCACCTGACAACTATGTTACATCGTGACAAATACAGTTTGACCTTGAACAAGGTTAGAGGCATTGACTGCACGGGGTTGAAATTCCAAGTACAACTCACAGCTGGCCCTCCATGTATGGAGGAAGCCCTCCATTTCCTCGGTTCTGCACCCACAGATTCAACCAACTTCAGATCGCACGGCACTGTAGTATTTACTATTGAAAAAATCTACGTGGACCCACAGCAGTCAAACCTGTGTTGTTCAAGGGTCAACTGTACAAATAAATCAGCACTTTCCTCATCTTACAGGGAAATAAAACCTATACGCTAATCCACAGAATAGGTTCCCTGATACCAAAGGTCAGCATTTTAGGTCTCAGCTCTTCACTGTATGTTGATGTTCCTTTTTTCATTAATATGGCACCCGAGTTGCATTTGGGCAGCTTCCCTACACCCTTAAGTATGCAAAATTGGAAATTATTACAAATTATTCACATTGAGATAAACAGCAATCACCACCCAAACCTTGATTATTTTTGTTAATTACAATATCCTAAGAACCACCTAAGATATATCAAGACCTTGTAAAGCTAATGAATAAACCCATTAAATCTTTTGCACAAAGGAGCAATCCCATGTTAAATTTCAAGAACTTGTTTTCCTATACAAATTACATGTACACTTTCAACATGAGCTAATTGCTTTAGCAGTGACCTTGGGAAGCCTTATTTCTTTCATGGCAAACATCTGATTACTGCTCTCCTGCTGAACCAAAAGGGCTCTGCCAAAGGAGCCCTCCCCAATCACTCTCAGGACTGTGTAACTGTCCATGCTGGGCACCGCACAGGGGCTCCACTCCCGCAGTCACCACCGGCTCTCCCAACCTAGATTCAAAAACAGAAACAACGGAGAATTACTGCAACGAGAAACAGAGACACAGACGTAGAGAACAAACATATGGACACCAAGGGGGGAAGGGGGAGGTGGGATGAATTGGGAGATTGGGATTGACATATACTACACTACTATGTATAAAATAAATAACTAATGAGAACATGCTGTATAGCACAGGGAACTCTACTTAGTGCTCTGTGTGACTTAAATGGGAAGAAAATCCAAAAAAAGAGGGGATATATGTATACATATAGTTGATTCACTTTGCTGTACAGCAGAAACTAACACAACACTGCAAAGCAACTATACCCCAATTAAAAAAAAAAAAAAGATTCGCCCACAAAAAAAAAACCTGAGAATTAAATTTACTTTCAAAAGGCAGAATTAATTCAAAGTAGCTCTAATCACCATGATAGGATGACTTATTCCTTTATTCATTCAACAGGTGGACACAGAGCATGCGTGCCAGGTTTTATAATCCTGAACAAATCTCTCAACATTCAGCCCCAGCCATCATGCACACTCCGAAGCAGATGGGACCGCAGGCCTCAACCAATGCAGGGTGGCGAGTCTTACAGGGAGGGTCATGCTGGTCCTCGGCAGAGGTATCCTGGGGAGTTAGGAAGATGATATTTAGGCTGAAGCCTGAAGGATAAATGGAAGATATCTAGGCAAAGAGGAGGGACATGAGGGAGGCAGAGGGAATCGCATAGTTAAGAGCAAAAGAGATTGTTTCAGGTCAAGGACTTGAAAGAGGACTGTAAGCCTAGTAAGGCAGACTGGGCCTTGTCTCGAGGTCACTGTAAGCAAAGTTCAGGTTGCTGGATTTTATCCTGGGGTAGTTCACAGGCTGTCTCTGAAGGGTTTTAACCAAGAGAGCACATTTACAGCTTAGAAAAATTGCTCATGCTGGCTGCAGAGCAAGGGACCAGACAGGGGAAAGGGGAGAAGGGCCGGAGCAGGACTCCTACCACAGAAAAGGCAGGAAAATGATGACACAATGGAATAGGGGGGTGGCAAGGGGGATGAAAACAACGGGAAGGAACATGTAGAAAGAACTGGCAAGATTTTTGGTTACAGATTTATGGGGGACAAGCAGGGAGAAGGGAACAAGGTAGACTCAGGTTTCTGGTGTATATTGGGCAAATACTGATACCTTTCCCTGAGAAAAAGGAAAGGCATGGCGGTTGTGTGCCTGGTGTTTTTGGTTTGATTTTTCTGGCGGTGACAGTGGGGTGGGTGGGGAAAGGCGTGGGGAAGGGAGACATGTGCTCCTTTGGGGACATGCTGAGTTGGAGGTGCCTGGGAGGAAGAAGACATGTTAAGCAGAGTCCTTGAACTTCAGTCTCCCTTTTATATTTCCTGGATGAAGCAGCTCGCTGGATCTCTTAATACATCAGAAAGAATGAATATAAAGTTCCTAACACTTTACCTGGTACATAGGGGGCCCTGAATAAACGGCAGCTATTATTATTATTAAACCTTAGAAAGGTGATGCTTTTTTTTTTCATTACAGAAAAAACACTGGAATGAGTTTGATTTTCACAAAACTTACTTGTAGTGTTTTATTTTCATAAAAATCACACCACAAAGATTTATGAGGTCCAGAGAGCATGGCGGGTAAAGCAAAAATTACAAACCAAAACCTACAGTTCTAGCGACCATTTGCACTCCTGTTTACCTAGACTCACCAGGAAACTCTAGAATTTCTCCATGTAACCAAATCAGATGCATGGTCTTCAGAAACAATTCTTTTCAAGGACAGTAAGGTCTTCCTGGATATGACGTGAAAGAAAAAAGTTCTTTGACGCTATTCTAACTGACCCCTGGCATGACACGATTTGACAAGAAGACCTAGTTTTCCCATATTTTTATTCTTTTTTACTTCGGGTATTTATTCTGTGAGCGGACAGTAAGTGATAAGCAAGAACAACCACTGACTTTTCTTAGCTGAAAATCACATTTGGTCCTTTCCGTCCACGTTTTCCCCTGTTACTCATTACACACCTAAGCTCATTAAAAAACCTGTATATGCTCTGAATATGACAAAAGCGTCGCTTCGCAGGCCTATTCCGATCAAAGGCTAATAAAGTGATGTGCAAATATAAATGTAGTATGCAGCTTAGAAAGTGAGCGCGGTGACCGCACCTCGGGGGAGATCCGATCCTCACTCCCGGAAAAGCCGCTCCGCCTCGCATCCCTGCCCGCGTTACCCACGCGACCCCCAGGCCCGGGTCCGCGAGCGCCGGAGCGCTGGTCCCGCTCGCCCCCACCCCGCGTGGGCGCCGGCGGCCCAGTGCCCAGCGCCTACCCGTCCCCGCCCTCGTTCCCGCGGAGGGTGCCTGCCCGGCCGGCCGCCTCACCTGCTTCCCAGAGATCCTGAGCCGGGCGCGTTTCCGGGGGGCGGGTCGGCGGGTCGTCTCTCGGATTGCCGGCGACGGAAGCTTCCGGGTCGAGCGGGAGGCGCTAGGGGTAGCCGGGCCTACGAAGGGCGCGTTATCAAAGTGTTGTTCCACGTCGCTCCAGAACAATGCCAATAATATTGAGGGAAAGTATCCTTCGCGGAACGTAAGTTCTGTCACCAGTTTAAGCTAACAGCCCATGTAGATAAGTTTCATGGGCACAGCACTCAGCTTACCAATTGTGTGAACTTTGACAAGCGTGGAGGGCGGATTAATGGTCCCCCAAAGATGGCCACACCTGTGCATTATTATAGATAACATATACAAGTTACGAGGGGCTAAGCACTCTTTTAAGTGAGCTTAGCATGTAAAGTGCATAGAATAGGACTAAAGTGTTAGCTATTAACTCATTTAATCTTCAAAACAACCCTAAAGGTAGGTACAATTATTATCCCTGAGGCACAGAGAGGTTAAGTTCTTTGCCTTAGGTCCCACAGCTAATAAGTGGTAGAAGTAGAATTAGAACCCAGGCAGTTTGGCCCCAGAGTCTGACCCTTAACCACTACGCTGCAATAATGTCAGAGACACTGCAGTGGTAAACAGTCTGAAAAGCTGACCCAATTACAAGGTCTGAAGAGAGCCTATCGGATTTAGCAACAGAAGGTCATGGGTAACCTTGAAGAAAGTATATCAGTGACGTGATGTGGGAGAAACCAGATTGCAGTAGCTGAGGTGAGATGATCAGAAGAATCAAGGAGTTCAGGATATTTTCAAGACACTTAGCCTTGAAGAGAAGGAGAAAGGGTGATAACCATGGGTAGAGGGAAGCACAAGATTATTTATGAGAGTATTTTATTAATGGGGAAATTGTAGCTATATGTTGAGGGATAATAAACCAGTGGAAGGAAAGAGAGGCTGAAAGTGCTAGCGGGAGGGGGGCCAGGAAGGTCTAGTTGATCCAAGTAATGTGTTTTTATTTTTTATTTTATTTTATTTTTTGGCTGTAGCTTGCAGGATCTTAGTTTCCCGGACCAGGATTTGAACCTGGGCCCTCTGCAGTGAAAGCGCAGAGTCCTAACCACTGGAGCGCCAGGGAATTCTCCAGGAAGGTCTAGCTGAGATGAAAGGATGGTGGCTTTTAGAGCCCAGGAAGAGAATTAGCCTTAGACTAGATGAGGAACAGACAGATTTGCTTCTGAGACCAGAAGAGGAAATAAAGATGTGGATGGATGTAGATAATATTAAAGAAGGAGAAGGAATCTTGAAAGCCTCAGTTTTCTCTGTGAAATAGAAAATTAAGTCATGTATAGCATATGGAAATCTTGAAGAGAAAGTTTTTTTTTAAATCGAGATTTTTATATTATTTATTAGTTCTATACAGTAAAATTCTGAGTAGTGAAGTTTTGATTGTTGTTTTCAGAATACCAGAAGAAGCTTATGTGGGCAAAGGTGATCAAGCAGCTCAGAGGCGATTCTAATGCATAATTGTGTAGTCATCTCTAGGAGTAAGAAATTTGGATTAATCCAAAATTGGGATTATGTAGATAACAGAAGTACACTAGGACAAGGGAGTTAAGGGTGCTGATATAAGGATGATTGACGTGACACACCTCGGTGTCTAGACCGAATATCCCTGTGAAGGAAGTGAAGTCTAGAAGGGCACCATCCATTATGTAGGTACTAGACACGTGTGGCTACTGAGCACATGAAAACTGGCTGCTGGTGCAAACAGAAATGTGCTGTAAATGTAAAATACACACAGAATTTCAAATAAAATCAGGGGGTGATGGCTGGCCGAAGAGCCCTCCCCACTTGCTGGGAACAGGGCAAGGATCCTTGCCAGCCCATTTTACTCAGCATTCTACTGGAGATTTTAACAGCTCAATAAGACAATAGAAAGAAATAAAAGGCATAAATATTAGAATGAAAGAAATAATATTGTCATTGTTCACAAATAAGATTATATCTGTGAAAAATCTACAAACTTTAGAGTTAATGAATGAATTTGGCAAGATTACTAGGTGAAAGATTAATGCTCAAAATTTAATTGCATTCATTTATCTATTTGAAAAAAGTAAAATACCAAAAAAAAGAGTAAACTATCCCATTAATCATTTTGTATATTGATTACCGCTGACTTGATTTTTTATTTTTTTGGCCACGCTGCTCAGCTTGCAGGGTCTTAGTTCCCCAACCAAGGATCAAACCCGCACCCTTGGCAGTGAAAGTGCGGAGTCCTAACCACTGGATCGCCAGGGAATTCTGAACTCATGTTTTTGAATAAAACATTATGAACTTGAATTGTACCACTTTCTTTTAACTTTTTAAAAATACTAGAATATTTTAAGTTACGTATGTAACTTGCAATATATTTCTATTTCTAGTGCTGGCCTAGAGGGTCTCGATGATGAGCTAGAGGTCTGAATGAAGTCAAAGAACCACCATGGAGGGATCAAGGGAGACAGCTGGTGGGAGAGGAGTTGTGAAGAAAACAGGACGGTAGTCTCAAGATTTCAGAGGTGGCCGCAGTTCTCTGCAAGCCAAAGTCCGTGTTGCCGCCTAGGAATCAGTTGCTGAAGTGCGGGGCACAGTTCATTGGAATGAGAGGTGAGGTCATCAGATGGCATTAACAGGGAGACAGGAGCAGGTAATCTAGTTCAGGGTTTCTCCCCTCAGCCCTGTTGACAGTTTGGGCTGGATAATTCTTTGTTATGGGGGTGAGGGTGTGGCTGCTTGCCTTGTGCTTTGTAGGTTGTTTAGCGGTTATCTCTGGCCTCTGCCCACCAGATGCCAGCAGTACCCCCTGACCTCGGTTGTAACAAACTGTCTCCAGATATTGAAAATGTCCCAGGATGGGAGGTGGGAGTGGAGTGGCGAGAAATGGCACAGAATAGCCCCTGATTGAGAAACACCAATCTAGTTGGATGCTCTGAACCTCAAAAGAAGGTGGAAAAGTAATGGTCTTTTTTTTTCTTCCAGTTTTATTGAGATATAATTGACATACAGCACAGTTTAGGGTGTACAGCATCATGATTTGACTTACATACCTTATGAAGTAATGACCACAATAAGTTTAGTGAATGTCCATCATCTCATACAGATGCAAAATAAAAGAAAAAAATGTTTTTTCCTCGTGATGAGCTTTCATATAAACATACAGCACTGTTTATACATTCTACTTATCATGTTGTATGTTACATCCCTAGTACTTATTTATCTTATAACTGGAAGTTTGTACTTTTTGACCACCTCCATCCAATTCCCCCTCCCGCCCCGCCCCTCTGGTAACCGCAAATCTGATCTTTTTCTATAGGTTGGTTGGTTTGTTCGTTGAAGTACAATTGACCTACAACACTAAGTTAATTCCTGGTGCACAACATACTAATTTGATATTTCTATACATTTCAAAATGATCACCACCGTAAGTCTAGGAAAAGTAATGGGCTTTAGTGATAACATAGTAGGCATTTGCAGACAGCACCTCTAGCTTTGCAGAGTATGGTGTACAATGAACAAGTAAGAGCTGATTAGAGTCTAGTTTCTGTCCTGATAAGCCATGTAGATACAACAGATATTTTCAAAATATTAAACAGATATGATGCCCGATGACCTTTGAATCTCAAAATTAATTTTCCTGAGTTCCTAATGAGATAATAGCTTCAAACTCCAGGCCCTATTGATACAGAAAAAAAGATTGTCTTAATTTTATAAATAAGAGACAGAATCTCTTCATCCTTTTTTTTTTTAAATATATTTATTTATTTTATTTTTGGCTGCGTTGGGTCTTCATTGCTGCACACGGGCTTTCTCTAGTTGCGGCAAGTGGGGGCTACTCTGCTGCAGTGTGCGGGCTTCTCATTGCAGTGGCTTCTCTTGTGGAGCACAGGCTCTAGGCGCGTGGGCTTTAGTAGTTGTGGCATGCAGGCTCAGTAGTTGTGGCGCACGGGCTTAGTTGCTCCGCAGCATGTGGGATTTTCCTGGGCCAGGGCTTGAACCCTTGTCCCCTGCTTTAGCAAGTGGATTCTTAACCACTGCACCACCAGGGAAGCCCTACTTAGTGTTTTTGAGGTTCATCTATGTTGCTATGTTTATCAGTAGTTTGTTCCATTTTCTTAACGTCTGTTTTCTTTTGCTTAATTTCCATTGAGTGGATATAGCATACGATGTTTTCTCATTCACCAGTTATGGGCTTTTGTGTTGTTTCCAGTTTTGGGCTCTTATAAGACTATTACGAACATCTTTGTGTACAATCTTTGCCTGGGCATGTTTTCATTTCTCCTTGATACTTAGGGATGGAATTGCTGGATCTCACCCTTACATTTTATATTTTTAACAATTAAATGCCTACTAGATGGTGAGAGTAAACATGAATTTCCGTATCCTGCACCCAAACATGACGAGTTTGTTAGCAAGGTAATTAGCTTCAGTTCTATTTTTTTTTTCTCCTTGACACCTCTCCTGTTGATTGGAGTATTTTCATTTTATATGATGTTTTGTAATCTACAATTATGTGTATTTCACTGTTTTTATTGACTTGGTGTGCTTAATGATTCTTTAAATCTTAGATTTACTTTTTATTTCACTGGAATAAAACCCCTAGGGATACTTTCAGACAAGATCATGAGCGGTAAACTGAATCTTTGCATGTTTGAAAATGCCCTCAAACTTGAATTATAGCTTGGGCATAGAATTCTAGCTTCAGAGTACATTTTCTCAGAATTTTGAAGATCTCAGGTGTGGTAACGGGTCTGGCTTCTGAACGTCTCACACTTATTCCCACGGAGGTGGGACTCGTCCTGCTGCTAAATTCTATGAGCTCTGCCAACCCTTCGGTGTTAAAAAATTTCTTTATAAAAGAAGCCCTCCCTGTCCTAAGGAGAAAATGTATTTCACATTTCCTTCTAATATACTTACTTAAATTTAACCATTTATTCTACCGGAATTAATTTTTGCAAGTGGTATAGAGATTGAAATTTCTTGCTCTCAAAATGGATAGGTAACTGACTCACAGCTTCTTTTCTCTATTTTGAAATGTAAATTTTACTATTTACTAACCTCCCATGTAGTCTTAATTAATGTATTGATCCATGTCAATGAAGAGTTCCTATGACTTAAAAATGACTTGCAGAACCATACATAAAGTATGGTATTTATATCCAACAAAGCAAAAACAAAATCCACACATACACGTGTTTATATGTATTTATATCTGTGTATAAGATATCTGCAAGAAAATAGAAAGGAGCACAGAGAAGAAGGGGCAGAAGCATCTCCAAGAGTCACTTCTGTTTTCTTTGGGGCCCAACAGTCAGTTTTCTCATTTGTGTTATCAAGGGTGGTTGTATTCAAAAACAATTTTATCCCCAAACCACCCTTTTTGTTATTGTTTATCTTAATCTGTGTTGCAAAAGTACATGGGGTGATGAAAATACTCTAACGTTAGACTGTGGTGATGGTTAAACAACTCTGAATATACTAAAACCCACTGAATTGTACACTATAAAAGGGTGCATTTTACGGTATGTGAATTAGCTCAGTAACACTTTTTTAAAAAAGGAGAAAACGTATATTTAAACAATCTTTAAAATTCAAGTCCTGGGTGGAGTCCGAACCTGGAAGGGCCTGGCCTGGAGTGCCTTGCGCTGCTCTGGAGACTCTCCCTGCCCAGCCGCTCCGAACGCCTCTCCCGCCTTGGCTGCCCCACCTTGTCTGGGGGCCAAAAGCTCCAGCTTGACCTGTTTCACTGCTTGTCTAAAATGCACATACTGGTGGGGACCGGAAAACCACATTCTGGTGAAGATGCTGCCTGCCTGTGGGACGCTAAATAATTTCAGTTCCTGCCGAATTCAAAACTCACTGAGGCCACAACTTCGGATAGTTTAGGGGGGGCGGCTGGGACGAGTCCTGTGTGAGGGATGTAGAGGCTGCCTGGGGTTGCTGGAGCAGTTAAGAGAGTCTTAAAATAAAACCAACATTTTAAAATTTAAAAAAAAGAAAAGAAAAGAAAAGAGAAAACCCCAGGCAGGAGCCCCTGCTTTTCTCTGGGTAGTTACTTCACTGTTCTCTCTGGTGATCTTTGCTCCCCAACCTTCAAACGGTCACCCAATGCCTATTTACATTTTCCAGGTCCAACTACATAGGAAAGACTGACTCTCAGTCCTGATTCCAAACACCTGTGGAAAGGATTCTGACAGTCCAGCTTCAGTCAGGTGCCCATTCTGGCCATTCAACAGGGGGGACAGGCAGATAAAAATGATACAAAATGACCAGAACGGATTATCTCCACTTCACCCTTCAGAAACAGGAGATTCAACTAAGTAGCTTCTCCACAGTCATGTAACTTTTAAGAGAAGGTAGGAGCAGAACTTTTGAATGTAGGTCTGTTGCACTTCAAGGCTCATGCACCGTCCATCACATTCTTGGAGATATTTAGCTTGGAACAAACCTAGGTCAGACATGTGCTAACTGTTCTCAAGCATCTGGAAAGGAGTTACAACTAGTCAGTAAGTGTTAGAACTATGATGATTTAGATAGATTTTCCCTCAGTTGAAGAGGAAAAAAAAAAAAACAACACTGTATGAAACCTGTCCAAACAGAACAGTTTATCTCAAGCTCTCTTTCACTGAGATATTTCAAGCTATGTTATATGGCCTAATAAAACATATGGTATGGATATTACAAAGCTGAGAGTATATGCCAGCTTGAAGTTTATCTCAAAATGGCATATTTTGCATCATTCATACAAAGGATGAAAAAAAACTAAAGAATTAGTTTTTTAATTTTTAGATAAGTAGATTGATAATTTTTCAAAAGGAAATACACCATTAAGCACACACTTATTTTAAGTGTTGAAAAACCTAAAGTCCAATCCCACTATAATGTATTTCAAAGGCAAGGTTCAAATTTATTCACCCTGGTTAAATTGCATTTTATATTTGTTGAAAGAAATGTCATTGCAATGTCGTTATATAGCTGTTTTCATTTATTGTATACATATTAGGTACACAGCTTAAAAGGAATAAAAATCCTACTCTCTAGAACATAAGACAATAAATAGAACAAAGACTGGCACTATTATACAAATGGAATTAATGAACATAAATAAGAATAAGTACGTGATTTTCAACCACATTCATATTACACAGTTTTAAAACTATCTAACCTTTTACAATGACTAAATCCTTACTTGAAATTGTAGAGTTGGTAAAGGATGTATGCTATTTAAGTATTAGTTCAGAGACTTACAAAACAATTTTACTGGTGGTATTTATGTGTGGGGAGCAGAGACCTACTTACTGTGTATGACTATAATGTTTTAGGAGACATGATGTTTCTATATTACAAGGAAGAAATCAATTTTAAGTATTAGTTATTTTAGAAATACTACCTAAACTAGGATGACATTTATGAAATATTATATATTCCTTCTCTAACTGCCTTCTATTAGTCTATAAACTATATCAAAAGAAGTGATGGAAGTTAAAATTTTTAACATTTTGGATAGTCAAGTTAGAAAAGGAACTAAGGAAAGGAACTCAGATTTAAAGTTCTGAATGCCCACTAGGTTTGGCACATTTTCTTTCTTCCAACAAAGTATCTTCTCTTAGAAATGGAGTATTTAGTTAACTATCCCTCTCGGGGACCTCGGCTACAAGAAAAAAGAGGCCAAGAGACCACAGATGCAGACTCACTGGCATTGCTGGAGAGTGACAGTGAAGAACCAGGGGCAGAGTCCCAGGGACACAGGAGACCACAGCAGTCTGGGCTACTAGAATTGGGTGAGAAAGCAAGCTAAATCTTGTCTTCACAAAATTTACCTGTCTTAGAGGAAAAGTCAGTCTATTGAGATCGACAAGGTAGGATTAGCTTTCCGACACACAGAAGGCAATACCTGCTATAGAGTGGACATTAGTAGGAGCGCTGACTGCATGAATACTTAGGTACTTGGCGACTCTTGACCTAAGGGACATGAAAAGCCACAACAAACCAACCAACCAAACACCCTCGAAATAATACAACCTCCTATCAGAGCTTCACTTCTCTTCTGTCGTGTCAGTCTCCGAGTACAAGCGGCACAGGGCTGCATTGGGGCGGCACACAAAAGCGTCAGTTTCACTTCCCAACTCTGTTAACTGCTCCAGTGAAGACACACAGGGAAAATGGTCTTTTAACATATCTGGCAATTTTGAAGTCTTCTCTTGAAGACGTCGAGATCGTCTAACTGGTGTGAGAAACTTGAGCTCTTTAAATGCAGAATTTGTTTCATCAAACTGCATCTTCTTTTTCACACTAAAAAAAACACAAAATTATTCCCAGAGTTAAAAAACACGTTAAATTTTCACTTCACACTTTTATGCTATTTATCATACTATAACTTGTATGTTACAACCATGTCACTGCTTGTCCTACAGAAAGAGGTCCTGCAATAAGTAAGGAACTTATTCATTTCCCTGTTGTTACAACTTGTACACAGTAGATACTTGAATATCTATAGAATTGGCTAATCGCTCAATTCCAAAACCCACTGCTATTAATAAATACAGAGATAAAAGTAAAAATGATGTAAAAGTTTTTCTTTTTTAAAAGGCAATATTTAGGGAAAAGCAAAGCAAATACAGTATTTAAAAGGTGAAATGTTCCAATCACATTGTTTCAAACGTTTCTATTAACAAATAGTTCTAATCAGAAGCTCTCTTAAACATTTTAAAATACCACATGCATGATCCTAAGCATAAAAACAAATCAGAGAGCATTACATTTTAAAAGTTTACCTTTGCAAGTATGGAGTAGTAGACACATTATATTTAATTAAGCAACCCGCCCTAGTTTCTGTATTGGGGGTTTTAACATCACTGGTTGGGTCTTTTGCTTTGTCATCTTGCTCTTTTTCACAACCTTGAAATACCACATTTCTAGGATGCTTATTTTCTATTTCCGGTTTTTCTGACCCCAGATTAACACTTGTATCGTCAATGGTGGCTTCTTGGATTTGTTCCTTGGTCGCACAAGCCTCCTCAATATTTTCTCCTATAGAAACAGATTTATAGATTAAGCTTCTGGTCAAATTTAAAGAACAAAATCAGAAGACAAAGTTATTACAGTTGGCCAGATTTTCAAGATAAAAGAACCAAACAGCCATCTCCTAACCATTAGTTTTTCTAAGCAAATACTGCTAACAATTATTTAACAAATATTTACTATCTCCTGTGTGTCAGGGATTATAGATACAAATATAAGAAGGAAATCATCCCCATCCTTTAAAAAGTTCACATTCTGTGGAACAGACATGCTTTAAAATAATTATAAAATGAGGAAAATGCTTGAATTGAGGTAAAAACAAAAGGTTATGGGAACCCATAAAAAGAAATAACTGAGTTTGCTTGAGGGACAGGGAGATGGCAAGGGAAGGCTTCACAAATGACATTTGTGAAATGTCATTTGATTGGTTTGATTGGCAGGGTCTTGAAAAATGAGTACAAGACAAAGGAAGACAATTTTGATATGAAGCTTAAAAGAAAATGATCCATTAAGACAATATTAAAGGGCCAGTGTGCTTAGAACACAGGGTAAGGAGCAAGGTGCAAATGTAGGAAGGAGGTGATGAGTTCAGACAGGTAGGAAGTTTTAGTTAAAAAAATTCACTGGGGGCTTCCCTGGTGGCGCAGTGGTTGAGAGTCCGCCTGCCGATGCAGGGGACGCGGGTTCGTGCCCCGGTCCAGGAAGATCCCACATGCCGCGGAGCAGCTAGGCCCGTGAGCCATGGCCGCTGAGCCTGCGCGTCCGGAGCCTGTGCTCCGCAACGGGAGAGGCCACAACAGTGAGAGGCCCGCGTACAGCAAAAAAAAAAAAAAATTCACTGGAGGGCTTCCGTGGTGGCGCAGTGGTTGAGCGTCCGCCTGCCGATGCGGGGGACACGGGTTCGTGCCCTGGTCCGGGAAGATCCCATATGCCGCGGAGCGGCTGGGCCCGTAAGCCATGGCCGCTGAGCCTGCGTGTCCGGAGCCTGTGCTCTGCAACAGGAGAGGCCACAGCAGTGAGAGGCCCACGTAGCACAAAAAAAAAAAAAAAAGTTCACTGGAGAGACAGATATAATTAGATTTGGTCACTATACAGAACGGTTTAGAATGGCAGGGAATGATTTGTGGGACTTCCCTGGTGGTCCAGCAGTTAAGACTCTGTGCTTCCACTGCAGGGGCACGGGTTTGATCCCTAGTCGGGGAACTAAGATCCCATATGCTGTGCAGCACAACCAAAAAAAAAAAAAAAAAAAAGGTAATGATCTGTGATGGTAAGAAGACAAAGCTGTTACCACAGTCTGAGCAAGGTGGTAGAGGTGGACAGTGGGAAGGAAGGGCCCAAGTTTAGTGTTATTCCTGAGTCAGGACTTAACAAATTAATGCATATGAAGGTCTGAATGAGTGTGGATGTGTGCATTCCTTCTAAAATTTCTTGCTTCAGAGTCTTTAATAACAAAGGAGGATTTTTCTTTTTTTTTTCTTTTTTGGGAGGAAGAGATGGTGGTATGAGGAAGCAGCGAGGGAAGACAAGGCATTCCAAATAAAACATGTTAGATGTGAAATACTTGTGAGACATCCTGGTAAATCCACTGAGCTGAAAGACCTTTAGATTTGATTATTAGGAAATTATTAGGTTTTTTCCTTTTTTTAAATTGATAGAGATTTTTACTAAGTGATGATTTTAGTTACATGGTAAAGTGAATGTGGTTTACTGAGGATAAGTTGAAGTAAGGAGAGAGGGAATATCGATTCATTAATTCAACAAATATTTTTGCAGTAGTACTGGGGCTGCAGTGGCGAGGAAGATCAGACCCAGTCCTTGACAACAGAGTTTAGAGCTTGAAAGACAAGACAAACAAGCAATCAAGTGCATAAAATACTGCACAGAGAAAACCAGCAAGCACAAAACAGGGCATTTCATCTAGTTGGGTTGAGAGGAAAGGTGGACATCAGGGAAGGCTACCTCAAGGAAGTGACAGGTGAATTGTGGTACGAATTAGGTTAAAAGTAGAAGACTGGCTTGGAGAGACCCAGAGGCAAGAGAGATAGTACAGCCCCTTCTAGGAAATAAAAAAAAAGTAAAGAAAGCAATCAGGGATGTGTAGGAGAGGGAGTGACAAGAGAGGCTGGGATCAGGAATCTAAGCAGATACGTGATGGGGCATTTTGGTTGCAGTCTTGAGAACAGATTGGAGCCAGAGTAGAGAAGCAGGAACCTAAGTAAGGAAACCAATGTTGTAGTCCACGTAAGAGCTGTCAGTGATCGTGACTATAGTAATGAGAGTAAGGATGGAGAGAAGTGGATGGATTTTAAGAGATGCCTAGGAAGTTAAACTGAATTTGATTGGCTAGGAAACAGGGGTGGGAAAGTGGGAAAAGAGGGAAGGAGTGAAATATAACCCCAAGATTTCTGGCTTGGAGAACTCGACAGTGTCGGTCACTGAGATAGGGAACCAAACTAAGGAAAAGGTTTAGGGAAAAGTGATGTAGTCAAGTTTGGATTTCTGGGATTAAGGAATCTGAGAGATACCCAAGTGGTGCTTCTCTCTCTTATTATTTGTCTTATACTTCCCAAAGATGTTTTCTTGCTGTTTACAAATAATTTTAATTTGTAAAATGGATTTTATACCTAGAATTTATAATTATATATTTCGAAAGCCAAGAGTTTATGGATAGCATTTCTTTTTCCATCTAAAGATAAATATTCTACCAGCTGGAAAGATTCCACTAACTAGTATGATTCTATTAAGGAAAAAAAAGGTAGAATAACTGAACCAGGTTTAAATACTGGTTTTCTCTTTCTAAATATCTTTAGAGCCAGTGAGAATTATGAGGAAGAAGGTTCTATAAAATTCTTATTTCTACTTTGCTGTCTTTAGCACAAAGACACAGGATTAGGTTATACTTAAAAAAATTTTTTTTTAAATTGAGGTATAAATGACATACAACATTATATTAGTTTCAAGTGTACAACATGATTTGATATTTGTATGTATCATGAAATGATGACCAGAACATATTGTGAAATGAAACCATCTCTCCCCATACATAGTTACACACATTTTTTTTCTTGTGATGAGGACTTTTAAGATCTACTCTCTCAGCAACTTTCAAATATGCAATACAGTGTTATTATCTACAGTCACCATGCTGTACTTTGTATGCCCAGGACTTATTTATTTTATAACTGGTAATTTGTATCTTTTGACGCCCTTCACCCATTTCAGTGGGTTAGGCTATTCTTAAACCTTTCTGCTCCTTAGGTTTGTGGTATACTAGTCTTTCCTGGTTTTTCCTCCTGTCTCCCTGACCATTCCCTCTTAAGCTCCTTTATTAAATATAGCCAGTAAGATCAGAGCATATACATCTGTATGTTCCACTGGGGCATAATAACAGCAAACATAAACAGAAATATTCTCTGTTGAACCAAAACGTCTTATAGATCATCTAGTCAAACTGCCTCATTTTTAAGACAGGAAATTAAGGCCTAGAAAGGTAAGGTAACTTTCACAGACACATGATAACAAATTTGGGTTTCAAACCAGACCTCCTAATTAAAAATTATTTATACTACGTAAAGCCAAAAAATTTCAGAGGTATGTCAACAGAAGTATGAGGAAAGAAACAACTTAAATATTTAAAAAGTTTAAAAAGATAAAAGAAAAATAATTCAGCAAAGAAATTTAATTAAATCACAATTCACTTGAAGAAAACAAAAGAAACTAACTTACCAAATTTAACTTTTTCTTGACTCTTCATTGTAAGAATGTCAACAATTGCATGTCGCATCTCTTCAATAGGCTTAATTTTTTTTAATGAAGAAAGCAGACCCATATAAGTTTTATATTCTCAGACATTAACTAAGGTTGTCCAAGTTGAAAATATTAAAACCAGTGATTAAATTTCATATTTTATAACAAAGCAATGATTCTTGGACCATTTTTCTCAGAACACTTATTTTGCCACTCCAATTAAAAATATGACTGTCTTTTCCAATAAAAATGAACTTAAGGGACAGAATTTCATCAGTTTAAAAAATTTTCCCATAATTTTTCTTCAGCCTATGGTAAATATTACTGCTTACCTGATAGGGACAAAATGAATGAACAAATAGCAAATTAAGACTATTAATATCTATCAAAGAGCTGATTATATTAAGTTTCTCTAAATTTATATTAGTTTATTCCTTTTCCCCTACATTCAAGTCCATGGTTATATTTTTGTTTCACATGCTATTAAATGCATTTCTGAAGAGTTCAAGGTTGATCAGCCTAACATTTCATTTATTCAAAAATTCAACAGTTTGGGGCTTCCCTGGTGGTGCAGTGGTTGAGAGTCCGCCTGCTGATGCAGGGGACACAGGTTCGTGCCCCAGTCCGGGAAGATCCCGCATGCCGCGGAGCGGCTGGGCCCGTGAGCCATGGCCACTGAGCCTGCGCGTCCAGAGCCTGTGCTCTGCAACGGGAGAGGCCACAACAGTGAGAGGCCCGCGTACCGCAAAAAAAAAAAAAATTCAACAGTTTAGTAAAGCATCCATTATATGTCACATATTATAAGTACTTACTATGTTCCTTTGAACCACGATGCCTGCTAATGCAATATATTCAAAATATTATACGAAAGAGAAGCTCAGGCTCATATTCTTAATTCTAGAACTTAGTCCTGAACTACTCACCCATCTGGCTTTTAATTTTCTTGGCTAATTTTGATCCCTGTTTTCCAATTTCTGCTCTGGTGTCACATCTTTCTCTTTACACTACTGTTTTCTCTGTGAACACCTGGCTCTAGTTTTGCATCCTAGCTATACTGTCACAAGCTGCTGTAAGTAACGTCCCTTCTGGTTCAATGTAGTAGGGACCTAACATTCTCTTCCAGGTGAGATTCGGTGAAATACAATTACCCTTCAGCAAAGTGTTTTACATATAATAGCCATAGAGAGAATATCTGCTGAATATTTGATTTTTGATTCAGGTGAAAGATCAAATAGCATTTGCTGGTTTTGCTGATACTAAAGGATAGAGACCTTTCTTAAGAAAAGGCTAAAAAAGTTTTTAAAAAAACCCTCTTTGTAAACCATTTCCAAGAATGCGTTTCTGAGAAACTTGGTCAGAAGGAAATACATTTTAGGAATATCTGACCATAAAGACAACAAAACCAATCAAATGTCAATCAAATGTCATTGATTCACAAATCAAACCAATCAAAATGTCAAACCAATCAAATCAAAAAAACCCCAGGATACCATTTTTTTCTATACCCAGGGTTTTTCTGGTAGCAGCACACAAGGAAGAGGTGACAGGTATAATATCAAACCACTATGGTGGTAATAATGTCAGAGATATTAGTTTATTGCCATTTTCTGGACCAAACATATGGCATATAAATGTGAGTCCGTAAAGATATACTCCTAAAGTGAAAGAATTCTCTCACAAGCTATCAGAACTTACTAACATTTTAAAAGTTAATTTAATTCCATTTGCTTTCTAGTCAATAAATACAGTTTAATATTGAAAATTCAGTTTCCCAGTAGATTTCTCAACTAGAGAATGTGCAAAACGACATGCTGTGCTAAAACATTTCTCACAGCACGTTTCATGAAATACACATTTCAGCTTATATCCATTTTCTAAGGTCTGATTATCCCTAGTACATGAGCAAGTTTTAGAAGGTTGAGAAACAGCCTTTATAATATGCAATCCTTGTGGCCTTTAAACATTCATCACTGCCACATATATAACCACAATTTTATCAAGTTATGCGGTGATGTGTTCCAAAATAATTCTGAATTATTTACACTGTAATAATAAAGACCAGTAAGTTTTAATCTCACCTGAGCTCCTGCCAGAATGGCCTTCTCATAGATTGCGATAATATTTTCAATAGGACTCGTAAGTGGTTCAACACGTGCAAGGCATATCCAATATTTAACAAGTTTTTTGGCATCTGGAATATTTTTAATCAGGTCATTTAGTGTAACCAATACTTCTTCTTTTGGACATCCCTAAAATAGCAAGAAATAAAGCGAGTGATGTCATTTAGCCTACAAACTATGAACAATTAAGTAAACTTACTGTAATCAAGGTCAGTGATAAAGAGATAAAAGGTTGGTAGAAAATTATTCATAAAATATTCACCATTATACTCCTTACTCCAGACTTGTTCTGAATGGCTAGCAAGAAGCATATCAGTCAAAAGTCAGAGAGAGAAGAAAAAAGAAATACTAGTTGAGAAAAATATTAGTAAAAAAATGACTAAAACTCTACTTGATCTTGATGTTTATCCTCTTTATATTATGAGATTCTATTTGTTAATACTTTATTTAGAATTTTTGCATCTACTAAATGCTTATGAGAATAGCTTGCAAGTTTCTTCTTCAATTATCTTTGTCAAAAAGTTTTGATAGTAAGATTAAAATGAATCCGTAATGGTTTACGTAATTAAGAGCTATATATAGTTAAGTAGCAGGGCAGAAAAATTCCATAGTATCAATAAAAAACCCCAGCAGAGCAGAAATAAGAGAATCAGTTTCCCTGACTATAATATCCACTGGTTGTCAGAACCACAAAAAGATGAAAGATGCTCATGAAGACTAGAGAAAGATTTGAAATCACACTCTATATGTTCAGTCTTGCTATGGATCTTAGATACTAGTGAGTGACGGGGAGATCAGCTCGATGCTTTGTGACCACCTAGAGGGGTGGGATAGAGAGGGTGGGAGGGAGGCTCAAGAAGGAGGGGATATGGGGATATGTGTGTGCGTATAGCTGATTCACTTTGTTGTACGGCAGAAACTAACACACCATTGTGAAGCAATTATACTCCAATAAAGATGTATAAAAAAAATTCACAACTATAAGTGACAGTTAAACAATATATTAAGATGATTCTTATACATATTAAAATATACGTGTGTGTGTATATATATATATGTATATATATATATATATATATATATATATATATTTTTTTTTTTTTTTTTTCGGTACGCGGGCCTCTCACTGTTGTGGCCTCTCCCGTTGCGGAGCACAGGCTCCGGACACACAGGCTCAGCGGCCATGGCTCACGGGCCCAGCCGCTCCGCGGCATGTGGGATCTTCCTGGACCGGGGCACCAACTCGTGTCCCCTGCATCGGCAGGCGGACTCTCAACCACTGCGCCACCAGGGAAGCCCTACACGTATATATTTTTTTAAAAATTAGGAGAAGTCAGGAAATAAAATAAAAACACTCTGAAGTTGATTACCATACACATAGGAATTCTGGTCCAAATCGTAAAATTCTACAGTTCAAGGCCATGATGATATTGGTTTAGATTAATGGGATTTTGCTTGCAACTATTTTAGTTAAATTTAATCTGTGATAATAATTTGTGTTGCTAGTCTTTGATAAAGTATGGGAATAAGTTGAAAAAAAATTGTAAATATATTGAACGAATGTAAAAACAAAAGTAACAGAGTGAATATCCACCCCCCAGCCCACTCTATGGTAACATCTTAGAGGAATACAATATTTACAACTCAACTGAAAAACATCTAAGTATCCATTTGATATATTTATATGAACTCAGTGAGAATGTAGTCCATTTAAGGCTAAAGAGAAACAATCTCACAATTAACAGTAAGTCTCCATAACACTGCTGACACATTAATTGGTCAAAAAAGAGTGACAGTATAATTTAATGAGATAATGTTGATGAAGGTTAATTTGCAAACTATAAACTACTACACAAATAAAGAAAAAGACTCTACCTCATTAATCAGGTTTAGGCATTCAGAAAATGTCTTGTTTACTTTTTCAGTAAACACTCGCTGTTCGTCTTCTTCTGCCATGGTAGTCCAGAAGGATCCAACTGGTTTTTCATTTTGTGCTTCGGGCTCAGGCTGGGTAACCACTGAGCTCGGAGGCCTTTTCATTACTCTTCCTTTGCCAGCTTTCCACTCACTCAGACGAGCCCTACAGTTAGAAGCAGCATATAAACATTACTGTGATACTGATAACAGATTTCTGTCAAATACAGTGAAAGTTAAAAAAATATTTCAGGTCTTTAAGTAATTCTACACTGGTGGCATATACATAGTTCACCAGCTTGAAGAAAAAGAAATACAGAACCTATCAATGTTAATCATACGCTCACAAAGACCCCAGGAATGCATTTTTAAATGGAGAGGTTATAAAATATTTCTCAATTTTATTAAGTATTTTAACTTAGATTACATAAAACAACCTAATTAAACACACTCAAGCACAATAACTTAGGACATACTGTTCCACGACATAAATTTGCTTAAATTGATCTGCATATGACTGAAGAGAATCCATGTACAAAAAGCTCTAATACATTCAAGGAAATGATAAGCCAAATTCACAAGTGGTACCCTACTAAAAATTAAGCTAACAAAACTACATCTACTTACTTTCTCTCCTCCGCAGTTTCTCTGGGCTGAGTCCATCTACTATCAATAGCTGCTTTCACCATGGTATGTCTGCGCTGGTCAATGCTTTTTGACTTTTCTATCAGTTTAGTATTAGAAGACGAAGCAGGCCTGGCTACCATTTCAGATGTCATGCTTCTTGATAGTGTCTTATTTCTTTTTATGTCCTGAGAAGAACTGGTTTTGATAATAGACGAAACCGTATTTAACTGTAATAATTCTTTCTCTCGAGGCCCTTTCCGAACTGTAACACTGGCAGACGTCCTACTGATGCCTTGTTTCATGGTGTTCTGGTTATTACTGTGGTGACTTCTAATAGAAGGTCGCACAAGTTGACTGCTCTGAGATGTAGTGCTCACAAATTTAGTGGCAGTCGTCATATGTGAGGCTCTATCACTTTTCACTGTTACACTGCTGGCGTGTACAGGCTGAGACTTTGTGGCTTTCGAGACAGTAGCTGAAAGTTTCTTCGTTGTTGCAGAACTCTCATCTTTGACTTGTAGAGGTTTTCTAAAGGAATTAATCTTAGACTGAACAATTTGGCCACGATAAGATCCAAGCACAGGTTTCTTGGGCATGTTAGCATCTTGCTTTGGTTTTTCTGTAGTCATTTGTTTCTTTTTACTGTTGTTTTTAAGGTGAAATGCTTGGCTTAACGTCATATGTTGACTTTGGGGGTCATCTTTAATTGGTAACAATGGCAGAGTTTGATTATTATCTTCAAAATTAGGTGTATCAACTGCTGTAGTTGAATTGGTTAATTCATTACAAGGTTTTAAAGGAATACAGTTTTTTTCCATTGTTATATTATTCTTGATCCCAGTAGGTCTACCGACATTCTCTTTATCAGTCTAAAAGAGTTAAAGACAAATTAGTTAAAGACAAATCTTTCAGAAAGAGTTTAGTAAAAAACCTTCTTTAGGAATGAGGGGAAAGGGAACATTTAGGAGGGCTATTCCATATCTTACCATTTTTGCCTTAAGTTCCAGAACTTTTGTCTCTTCTTGGATCTGGCCTTCAGATATCCTCACTCTCTGGTCTCTATCACTTAAAAAAAAAAAAAAAAAAAAAAAGTCCATACTAAGGAAGTTTCCTTTTCTGGGGGAGGTATGGGAGGATATAACAATTATCTGACTTTGCTGTTTTAAACTGAGGCAAGAACTGAGCTGAGATTTGTCCTAAGCAAAACTCTTCTTTATTATAGGGTGATTTTATAGTGTAAACAAGACGGCTGAGGAATTTAAAGGTATTTTCTTACAAGCCTTAATACCCTCCCCCCCCAATCTCATTCTAAACCATTCTCTAGTCATTCAAACAAGTCTTCAAAAATCTTTATTAAGCAACATTTTCTTTGGTTAGTTTTAAGTGCTTAGTACCAGACTTACATTGAAAAAAATTTTTTATAAATAGTTCTCCCAAAAGAAATTCAAAAATTTTCACACACACTCACAACTTAATTTATTAATCATGTGGATTTTAGTTTCTAAATAGCATTGCATTTAGAATATATGTATATACAAAGCAAAAGCTTCTTCAAGAATTAAACTTAAACTCCCTTTTTATAGATATAGGCTAGTACAGGCTACAGTATAGGTTAGTACAGGCTGTGAGAATCTCTTAGCAAGTGATTTTGTATTCCATGAACGAAGGGAAAAAAAAGGGTCAGTTGGATATGCCTTGGATTCTAAGGCAGATTTCAAGTTCAGAGACGTAAAAATGTGAACAAAATGTACATTTTAGAGTCAGCAAAATTTGATTTCTGTATAGTTGAGTTTAGAATGTTCTTTTCTTCCCATTGTGTATAAGAGTACTCTAAACCCCACGACCCAGTTGGATTCCTTATTTAAATAAGTAGTTGAGAGTCACTGTCTTATGTGAATTAATGTTCTCTTTGCTTTCTCTCTAGTAATCTCATTCCACCCCAAGGTTTTAAAGAAATACCATCTACACACTGACAACTCCCAAGTTTATATCTGTAGTCCCATTCTCACCCCTGAACTTCAGACACATTGCTATTTGGCATCTCCACTTAGATGTCTTATTGCTGCCTCAGACTTAACATAGTCAGAACAGAACTCCCCATTCTCCCACTCCTCCCTCGGGCTTCCCATCTCAATATATGGTATCGCTATCCACTCAGTTATTCAAATCAAAAGTCTAGGATCATCTTTTGTCTTAAACAAAAAATTGGGATTTGTGAAAGAAAATGTTTATTCTAAAGAAAAGCAACTAATTAATGTAGAGTAAAAAAATTAAAAAATAATTTTTATTTGAAAACAATGCCAAACTTATATAAAGTTGCAAAATTATAAATAATTCAAACTCTTTATCCAGATTTGCCTATTGTTAACATTTTATCCCATTTGCATTATCATTTGCACTCTTTCTGAACATGTCTATGTGTGGAGTATACACAACTTTTTATCTGAACCTTTCAAGTTAAGTTACATACATGATGCCTCTTTACCCTTAAATACTTAAATGTTTATTTCCTAAAAATAGGAATTTTCTCTTACATAACCACAGAACAGTTACCAAATTCATAAATTTACCTTAACCATTTTAATCTATTGTTCATAGTTGAAAACTGACCTGATAATGTCCTTTATAGCATTTTCCTTTCCACTATTAAATACAGTATAAGGGTCAGGTATTGAATTTAGTTGTCACATCTCTTTAGCCTCCTTTACCCTGGAACATTAAGGATCATCTTCAACTCTATTTTTTCTTTTACATCCCATATCTAATCCATCACCAAGTCCTGCCAGCTCTATCTCCTAAACATAGCAGAATCTGAGTATTTTCTACCCTGGAGAAGGGTATGAAGCATTCATCAACACAAAATATATCAATAAGTAGAGTACCTAATATAAAGAAATACAAATTAAAATACTGGATTAAATAAAATGTATTAAAATTCATTTCATCTTTAAAAACAAAACTTTAAAAATGGGGCTACTAGAAAATTTTAAATTACATGTGTGGCTCACATTACATCTTTACTGGATAGCTCTGATATAATTTGACAGATGTGAAGTGAAAAAAATTTGACTCACCTGGATAATATCTGATTTTCCTGTTTGTATGCAAAAAAAGTTTTTCTTTTTAACAGATGCTCCTTGAGTTTTTGTCTTCTTTGCTCTAAATAACAAAAGAGCTACAGGTCAACATCAGCTGCAATAACAACATCAAATAAAATACTGACTAAATGAAGATTTAACTTCGAAAAATGTTCTGCTTGAGATTACATCTTATGTATAACAGAAAATTTCCCAGTTCAGTACTGCCTTTGAGAAATAATCACGTTTTGAAATGACTGTTACTATAACTGGTCCCCATACCCACTCTGTACAAGAATCACATTCTCTACTGTCTGAAAGTGAAAAGTCTGGAGAACATCATTTTCAACATACAGCTCCTGAAAGCCAAGTTTTAAGAAGTTAGATGGTAGAGATGAGACACCAGACTCCAAGTTCTAATTTACCAGAATTGGGTGAGAATTTCTTTCCTGTTTTCCCACGTGTAGGACAAGAAATATCTATTATTTCTGAAGACGCAGCTAACCCTAGATTTCTATAAAGTCGAAGGCGACATGTGTTAAATCTGAAGCATCAGTTGAACACTCCCGTCCCTCCAGAAATTAACTCCCGACTCAGGAGGCGGGAGCGCCCTGCGCAGGCGCAGTCAGCTCCCAGCACTGACGCGGCCTCGCCTCCGCGGGCCCGGGTCCCCAACGCGGGTCCCTGCCGGAGCCCCGCACACTCCCCCGACCCCACCCCACCCCCCGGCTAAACGGATCCTCTCATCGAAGCCCGTCGCCGCCGCCAGTGGGTCGCGACCGCACGCGACGCGTTCAACACGCACACTAACACCACGGAGCGGGTACCACTCCGATTGTCCATTTCACAAACCCTGTCCAGACTTCTCGCACAACTGAACTGGGCGGAAACTGGTCTGCGAACCCAAGGCCCTGATGGCCCTGCCCGAGCCATCCCCCCGTGGCCGCGCCGGCCGCTCCCGGCACCGCGGCCCTCACCTCTGAACGCGGACTGGGCCCTCTGACTCGGGGGCAGCTGCAGGTCCTGGGGCACGGCTGGGGTGCTCATCGCAGCTCCGGGCAGGGGGACGCGTCTCGAGCTCGACCGCCACAGTCTCCGTCAAGCCGGAGCGGCCGCACACTGCCCCACGACGCCTTGGGCTCGGCCTTAGACTGCGCGACCGCCGCCTCCGCCCATTGGTGCCCGGCGTGAATTGAATGGGCCAATGGGCGAAGAGGGGCGGGGGGCCTGCTCTGTGTCTGCAGGGGCGGGGCTTGAGACCGCCTAGTTCAGTTAGGACCTCTCGGGACTGAATCCCTAGGTTTTCAAACATAAACAGCGCTCTTGTCTTGGACTTGGCAACTTGGGAGGAGTCGGAGCGAAGTCCCTGTAGCAGATAGCTCTCGTCTTTAGACGCTCACAGTGCATTGAGGAAGGCAGAGGAGAAAAGTGCTGTTTGGAGTGTTCAGTGAGGAGGAGGATTATAAGCACTCACTACTGTACCTAGAGCATGTGTATTTCCTTTTCACAAATATTACTTCATTGCGGCATCACAGCTCTGAAGTGGGACGTTATCATCTCCTGTTTCACAGATAAGGTGACAGGCTCAGAAGTTATTTGTCCACGTTTGCACAGATTGAAAAGAGGAACTGAAATTAGGGTCTACTTCCCTCTGTACTACCCAATTACCAGATGAGAAAAAGAGAGGAAGAGAAAGGGCTAAAATGGGGATAGACCTTTCTTTTATAATCCTGTGAAGGTAAATTCAGCATTTGTTGTATTCATTCTGTGTGTTTGTACGTTTAAGTGTGCTGCCATAATCTTTCAGTCCTCATCTAAAAATATTACCTTCATAAAACCCGCACAAACACCCAATGGATAAGACAGAATGAAATAACAGAGCAAGATGGTTTTGTGGGTGGTGCGGGGGAAGAGAGGGAGAGTTCTGGGCTGTGCCTTTCTGCTTTTAAGCACAGGGGTCATACCATTTCTCGGTCTTGCTTGATCACTGAAGCTAGGTTTAGCTGGACTGTTTCAGCCAGGTTTTAAACATGGAGACAGAGATGATAAGATGCAACTTCTATCTTCCCTGCCCATGTGTGAGGGCCTCCACAGATGGCTCTCAACTGTGGTCAGTGTTTCCCATCCTTCCCTGCTTTTTCCGTCAGCATTTTATGCTAGCATCTTGCTAAATTAGTTTGGGAAGTTAATTTGGGATATTCTGTAGTTTTCTTTTCTTGATGAAACGTCTCATTTTTAGTGTAACTTTGCCTACACTTAAGGCTAACTCTGGGAGGACCAACAGCCAAACAGCACCCATCACCATCCCTAAGACATCACTGCTGTTTAGATACTACTGTGAATATTATTATTTACTAAAGTTTCATCAGACAGGTTGGGTAACCAGGGATTCTCATTAAGTAATGGAGAACATTTTAACAAAATAGAACAGGTAAAAAGTGACTCAAAGGACTTCCCTGGTGGTGCAGTAGTTAAGAATCCTCCTGCCAGTGCTGGGGACACAGGTTCAATCCCTGGTCCGGGAAGATCCCACATGCCACGGAGCAACTAAGCCCATGTGCCACAACTACTGAGCCCTCGTGCCACAGCTACTGAAGCCCATGCACCTAGAGACCGTGGTCTGCAACAAGAGAAGCCACCACAATGAGAAGCCCGCGCACGGCAACTGAAGAATAGCCCCTGCTCGCTGCAACTAGAGAAAGCCCGTGAGCAGAAACAAAGACCCAAATGCAGCCCTAAATAAATAAATAAATAAATAAATTACAGAACAGATAAATCCATAGAGACAAAACACAGTTTGTGGGCTGCCAGGGACTGGGGTTAGAGGGGAATGGGGAGAGACCACTTAACAGGTAAGGGGCTTTACTTTGGAATGATGGAAATGTTTTGGAACTAAGTGGAGGTGATGGTTGTACAACACTGTGAATGTATTAATGCCACTGACTGAACTGTTCACTTAATTTTACGATATGTGTATTTCAGTATCTTTAAAAGTGGGAGTGGGGCTTCCCTGGTGGCGCAGTGGTTGAGAGTCCGCCTGCTGATGCAGGGGACACGGGTTCGTGCCCCGGTCCGGGAAGACCCCTACATGCCGCGGAGCGGCTGGGCCCGTGAGCCATGGCCGCTGAGCCTGCGCGTCCGGAGCCTGTGCTCCGCAACGGGAGAGGCCACAACAGTGAGAGGCCCGCGTATCTCAAAAAAAAAAAAGTGGGAGTGGTTAAAAAAAAGAAAGCGACTAAAATGAAACTGTGGAAGATCTCAGTAGGCTGAGATGGTGAGGTTTTCCGACTTGGTAATTCTGCTCTAATCTCCAGACTCACCCGTTCCAAGACGGGTATCGTTTAAAGACACTTTAAAAATATCATTGTCCCACAACTGTTGGAGAGAAGGCAGATCGTTTTCTAAAAGATCCAAAGAGAAGACTTCCTTCCATTACAGGTCTCTGCCAACCACAGCCGACCACGGAACTGCAGCCACCTGAGGTACTGACGATCAGCTTCAGTTGTTCGTCCTGTGGTCATGTGAAACAGGGAGAGCACCTGTGAGAGGAAAGGGTGGGATCGTCCAAGGAATAGAAGGAAGATAAGGACAGAGTGATGACACAAAGTCCAGGGAGGAGGAAGCCTCAAGAAAGAGGGAATGGTCCAGGGTTGACCACTGAAGAGGTTTAGTAGGATTGGGACTGGAAGGAACTGTTGGGTTCAGAAGCTAGGAAGTTCTGGCAAAACATTCTGTGCAAAAGTACAAAACGTGGAAAGAAATAAATCCTAAATAAATGGAGAGATATAATATGCTTATGGATCAGAAGATCCTGTAATGTAAGAGGTACATTCTCTCCAAGTTGATCCGTTCATTCCCATCTCAGTCAAAATTAGAAGACATTTCTATAGAAATTGACAATTGGATTCTAAAATTCAGATGGAAATGCATAGGATCTGGAGAGGCAAACAATTTTGAAACAAAAAGTTGGAGGACTTACACTACCTGATTTCAAGATATATTATAAAGCCACAGTAATCAAGACAGTGTACTGCTGGTGTAAGGAAAGACAAAAAAAAAAAATCACTGGAATACAATAGAGATTCCAGAAATATATTCAATCCTCTGTGGCCAATTGATTTTCTACGAAATTTCTAAGACAACCTGATGGATGAGAGGAATGATCTTTCCAGCAAATTGTGCTGGGACGTCTGGATATCCACATACAAAATATTAACCGTGACCCTTACCTCACCTCTTGAACAAAAAAACCCTCACAAAACAAACCAAAGTAAACCTCAAAATAGAACTAGACCTAAACGAAAGAACCCAAACTATAAAACTTCTAGAAGAAAACACAGGAGAAAATCTTAGCGATTTCTTAAACAGGAGACAACATGAACTAAAAAAGAAACAATACACTGGATTTCATTAAAGAACTTTTTGCTCTTCAAAAGACTCTTTAGAAAACTACAAAGTAAGCTACAGAGTCAAAGAAAATATTTGCAAAACATTTGCGTAAAGGACTTTTATCTAGAATACTAAGAACTCTGACAAAATTATTTAAATGTGCCAGAAAATTGCACTTCACAAAGAAGATATAGGAACTGAAGACAAGCACATGGAAAGATGCCTAACACCACTGGTCATCAGGAAGATGCAGGGACTTCCCTGCCAGTCCAGTGGTTAAGACTCAACCCTTCTAACGCAGGGGGTGCTAAGATCCCACGTGCCAGGCTGCACGGCCAAAAAATTTAAAAAAAAAAAAAGGATGCAATTAAAATCACAATGAGGGAGTTCCCTGGTGGCCTAGTGGTTAGGATTCCGGGCTTTCAACTGCTGTGGTCTGGGTTCAATCTCTGCTCATAATGAAATACCACTCACTATGCAGCCACTAAAATGATGAATTACCAAGGTTTGGCGAGGAACTGGAACTCTCCTACACTGCTGGTACTAATACAAAAAGGGTATAGCTACTGAAGAAGACAGCTGGGCAGTTTCTCATAAAGTTTGACATGCATTTACCATATGATCCAGCAATTACTGTCCTTGGGTATTTGCCCAAGAGAAAGGAAAACAAATGTACACGAATGTTTATAGCAGTTTTGTTCATAATAGACCTAAGCAGAAAATAACTCAAATCTCCATCAATGGATGAACGGTTAAACCAGTTGTGACATAGCCATATAATCGACCGCTACTTGGCAATCAAAGGGAACGAAATACTGATAAACACAACAACATGGATAAAATGGAAAAACTCGATTTTTTCCCTCCTAAGCGGGGAAAAACACAGTCCTTCTCTACTGCGTTTCTTTCCAGTGTGTATCCTTTACTTCTACACGAAACATTTCATTCCTGACATTTCTGCTCACCAAATATTTGGAGATTCCCCCCCACCGCCAATAAGCACTTCCCTGTGACACCAGCTGGGTGTCCTGTAAGTTAACTCAATTCTTAACACTACAGAGTTAGTGTCAGCTCCTACAGGTTAAAGGCCCGGTCCCACAAGACCGCCCCCACCCCCTACACTTCAGATGCCAGTCACAAGCCCAGGTTATCACCTGTGCTTCTGATGGACCGACTAGAGATTGCAGGTTCCGGTGACCCCCCTCCTTGGGTTCAATTAATTTACTAGGGTGGCTCACAGAACTTAGAGAAACACTAACTTACATTTACCAGTTTATTAAAAGATGTGATAAAGGATACAGATGAACAGCCATAGGGTGATGAAGATGAAGTGAAGAAGTGATCCACAGGGTGAAGTATGCGAGGGAACCAAGCACAGGGGCTTCTGTCCCCGTGGAGTTGAGGTGCGTCACCCTCCTGGTGTGGATGTGCTCACCAGCCTGGAAGCTCTCCAAATCTCCTATTAGTGGGATTTTGTGGAGGCTTCTTCACGGAGACATGAGCAATTATTAACGCTTTTTCTAGCCCCTCTCCCTTCTCTAGAGAACTGGGGGTGTTATGGACCCAGGCTCTTGGACTCTTTAATCAATAGAAATTAACGAGGCCAGATGAGAAATTCAGGTGAGCTTTCATTGGGACTGTGCTGCAGCATGAGGGAGAGAAAACAAGAAACAGATACACTTGTTCGCTCCCCAAAGGGGCGCGTGCTGGTTCCTTAAATAGCGTGAGGGTAGGGGTGGATCAGTGT